ACCTTAACCCTCAGATGATTTGATTTTGTTAACATGCCCGCCATCTGGTTGCTGTGCTTGCACAGGATGGTCTATTATTTCAGTGCTGACACAACTCTTAAACGCAATGTCTGCTTGAATGGTGTGAGGGTGTGTCCCTGATCATTATGACTTCAATGGGCTTCATGGCACTTACGTAGGACGTACCCAGTCTTCTTGTATGCTTGACTTGGTGGCGGCCCTTGCGTCTTCAGTGTTGGATGCGAATAATGAAGTCATGCAACCTCGCTTCTGCAATAGCTATCCCGTCAGTTGACACTGTGACACCATTACTCCTTCTATAACTTCAACTCAACTCAATGATACAAGCTGCCCGCTGTGTAGCAGTGGAAAGGAGCCATCAGTGCGTTTCCTCTTCGTTGCCAAAACCTGCTGCTGTCGCTTGCTTGCTATCGCTTGCTGTCTGGGCTCCGCCAGGTGCCACGATGAGCGAGCTGCTGCTTCACGAGACGGACGCTGCGCATTTCACTGTAAATGATTACCTATAGCTCTCCTTAGTCCAGGTCAGGACCTAGCTAGCGCACCTTCGGAACTGTGAAGAAACGGCGAGTTCATTGCCGCATAGAATGCGCGTACGGGTAAGAGGTAGATAGAGGACGGTAGAGTTTCCGTATTCGCAACATACCTCCTTGATTAAGAAACCTGGTCCACAACATTTACCTCAACAATTATTTTTGATAATGTCTAAACCACAAACATGTATCCATCACTTGGGGAGTTATTGCGAGATGTCAGGACATGTAAAAATAACGTGTGAACGAATCGAATTCCGCTCGCCTTTGCATTAACCCTGCTTATCATCCATGGAAGTCAAATTCTGAGTTTCAGACCAGCGACAGCTTAAAAGCTTAGAGAGGCTCATTCATTCAGTATGTTATCTGACTAGGACGCATCAGTAAGCACCTGCTGCTTACAACAGAGCTGTGGCTGGTTCTTAGGAATCAGACCCATTCTTCCGGGTTGCCATTGGTAAATTTAATTATTACTTCAAATATTCACGTGGTAATCTGCTTACAATTTCGTGTAGGTAATCTGCTTAAAATTTTGTGTGTTGGCCTACCTCCACATCCTCAGCCTTTGTGGCATACCTTACCCAGTCTTTTGTATATTTATTTTGGTAGTCAGATAATCTCTCAGATAGTCGTCTCATCTCCGGTTCTCCGGGAAGAAGCCTTATTGCTGCCTGCAGGCGCCATGCTGCTGCAGCAGTTGGTCCTTCTGTCTGCCGCTGTCGCACATGCCGACATGCCAAGTTCAGCAGGTGTGCTATAAGACAATCCAGAGCGGATTGGACAAAAGAGTGACCCTGAGAGACGACGAAGTTATGAAGTTATGTTGATAAGCGGCGAGGGGCTGTTGAGAGCGGCCCTCCCTGTCCGCTAAAAGCACCTCCACATCGAGGCAGTGCGGCGTTAGCGACGTGAAGCGCAAGGCGGGGTGGCATTTCAGGTTTCTTCGCCTGTTGGACCCCTGTTGCCATCTGTATGCGCCCTTCATTGCGTGTTACTCCTCCTGTTGTGCGCTCACCGAGCTCCGCCCGCAGCAGCGCGGCAGGGTCGTCACTCAAACATGCAAGTAAAGTGATGGTGGCCTCGCGCATTGACACTACCGGTATTACCCACCCATCCGACCGCCTGGGGTCCGCTTTGTGCCTCTGGCCTTACAACCCATGCCCGTGACAAGATCCTAGGGTTTCGCAATAATTGCGCAATACCTAGGAAAAATAGACTTTACGATTTGAATCTTCGCTGGTTCTCCAAATGCGCAAAACTGCATGTACAAACTTCTACATGTACCTAATAAGCATTGATGATGTTAGAACACATCGTATTCTAATTTGCAACAATTGATTGCCCTCCCGCGCTCTTCCCACGTACAGGCCCCCCCTTGTGCCTTCTATTGCCCCCTGCAGATAACACACCGTGTCCAAGCTGTAGCAGCAATACTGCTGCACTAACAACAATCCGTGGCGGAAGGAGCTTGCACCAGCAGCAGCGGCAGCATGAGACTGCCCCGAAGCAGCTGTTGCAGCAGCATCAACATCAGCAGCATCAACATCAGCAGCATCAACATCAGCAGCATCAACATCAGCAGCATCAACATCAGCAGCATCAACATCAGCAGCATCAACATCAGCTGATAGTGTCCAGCGGCGCTGCTGAAACCGAACACCCCACGGGACGGCGCTTGCTTGACAAGGATAAACACCGCACATCGTCATCGGGAACCAAAGGGTTAATAGCTCTGCCCGTCATCGCCGGCATCATCTTCATCATGCTCTGCACGTGTCCAACCTGTTGTAGACGCGTACAGGAACGACAGCAGCAGCTAAAGCAGCTCCAGCAGCTGGAGCAACACCATCGAAATTTGGTGCGTGTGTGTGTGCTCCTAAAACTAACTATGTCCATCGAGGCATGACGTGATCCGGACACGTTGAAGCAGTCTCCGATCCCATACATACATACGGCGGAACCACTCCTATAGGCCTGTGGAAGGTATGCGTGCATACAACAACGTACGTACGGCATGATGTACGACGTGATGTACATGCATGTATTGCATACCCCACCTGTGTGTAGCGTAACACACGCCCCGGGTTATCCTACATCCTGCTATTGTCCTGTCGTACATAAGTTTTCCTGTGCGATACCTTGGGGGTTTATCAAGCAAGGTAAACAAGGTTTGGTGTGCGCTTGTGAATCTGCAGCCAGGGGCAGGATGTGTATCACAAAGCCGCATCCAAATATCTATGGAAGAGCGCAAACCTCCCAGGGCATTTAAAACCTAGCCTGTTTAGTCCCGGAAATTGCCTGGGATATCAGCTTACGCTATCTCGACAAGAATGGTTCGTTTAGCTGCATGATATGCCACATGTACCCGGCTTGTGGGTGCGGTGGAAACGGCAGTAATAGTTGTAATGCTGTATGCATATAACGGTTGAGTCTTCTACGTCTTTTTGGCTCTGCCGTGTGCTCTTATGCGCCATCACCATCGCTTGCTCTGGCAAACCACCTCAGCATCTACTTGTGCACACGTGGGTTGGACCACTCCTGCTCTAAGCCTGCAAACAGGGACTTTGACCGGCATTGCCTTGCAACCGTGTATCATATTACATGTGATGCACGCACACGCATGTATGCTGGGTACCGATACTGCGTGATACCGATCCACAGCCAAAAACGAAGGCTATCTGCTGCCTAGCACTAGCCCAGCGCTAGCTGCCACCAGGTAACCGCTCCGACATGTGCTCCCACTGTGTGCGGCCGTGCTGCCACATCACTCGCGGCTTCTTGAGGCCGCAGGTAGTGGACCTGCAGCAATACTGGGAGCCGCCGTGGGAACACCACCAACAGCAGCAGCCGCAGGCGCAGGAGCCGCAGCCGCAGGAGCCGCAGCAGGAGCCGCAGCAGGAGCCGCAGCAGGAGCCGCAGCAGCAGGAGCCGCAGCAGGAGCCGCAGCAGCAGGAGCCGCAGCAGGAGCCGCAGCAGCAGGAGCCGCAGCAGGAGCCGCAGCAGCAGGAGCCGCAGCAGCAGGAGCAGCAGCAGGAGCCGCAGCAGCAGGAGCCGCAGCAGGAGCCGCAGCAGCAGGAGCCGCAGCAGGAGCCGCAGCAGGAGCCGCAGCAGCGGGAGCCGCAGCAGGAGCCGCAGCAGCAGCCGCAGCAGCAGGAGCCGCAGCAGGAGCCGCAGCAGGAGCCGCAGCAGCAGGAGCCGCAGCAGGAGCCGCAGCAGCAGGAGCCGCAGCAGGAGCCGCAGCAGGAGCCGCAGCAGGAGCCGCAGCAGGAGCCGCAGCAGCAGGAGCCGCAGCAGGAGCCGCAGCAGGAGCCGCAGCAGCAGGAGCCGCAGCAGGAGCCGCAGCAGCAGCGGCATCCGCCTGTCGTCGCTCTTATCAGGATGCTCATGTCCCCGCCGCTGCCCTCCGTGAGCCCTCCGCCGCCGCGTCCGCCACACGGAATGCTACAGCCAGTCGCCTCACACGGGACCGTGCCATCTTGCAGTGATGCCACGGACTGCGTGGAGGGCGATTGATGCCACGTCATGGACGACAATAAGCCACCCAATATAAATAGAGCCATATATTAGGTTCCCCGCGGGTCCGCCGGTCGTACATTCCGGGTCCGCTGGACCCTAGATATGCCCTACATAATTACATTCATGTCGCATAACTGCTGCTGTGCTTAAAAAGCCGTGGATTGTGCGCCAAAAGCAGGATTAACAGTGCAGTGCAGCATCATGGTACTGTATGAGTCAGAAAGTCTAGTAAAGAGTCAAAACTTAGTCCAGCAGGGCATGCGTGAAGTCCAAAAGCACAAAGGAAATGTTTACTTGCAGAAAATGAAATCCCTGGAACCGGTGGATTTACGTGGTTAAGGTGTGTATGGCTGCGGTGGTGGCAGTGATGAAGATGGCAACTGATGCGGGGGTTGCGATGGAGGCGGCAGTAGCGGCTCAGTATGACTCCTGCCGCGTCCCAACCCAGGCTCATGTGTACGAACATTCTTGGTGCGGGGCGACGGCGGTAGATGTACAGTTATGTATCCTTGGATGCTGGTGTTCCGTTGTACGGCAAGTGGGGTGTCATCATCACACGCCTCCATATCATACATACATACGTACATACATGCACACATACATATAGGCGAGCCTCAGATAGCTGCGGCAGTGATTCGTTAACGAGGCGATATCGGTGGAGAGCTGGGTTGCTGTAGGTGCGTGAGGGTAAGGCATTTGGAATTGCTTGGCAGTACGGCACGTCCTCATGATGCCCCAAGAAAACAGGAAGATTTAAAAACACCTAGTCTTTGTAACTAAACTATGGAATTGGCTTCGCAAGTAGACATGATGTTGCTGGGTGGCTAACGTTATACATATCGCTTTGACGATCTGGTCGTGTTATGATTAGGCGCGGCTGGCAAGCTGATGCTTACGAGTGCACACAACACATCTTCTTGTGGTATTTTGTATATTAATACCAATTTTAAGGAGCAGTTACGGTACGGCACCATTGGGCTCCGCAACCACGTCGGAAGATGGCCGAATCGACGAAAAAAAGGCCGCAGGCTGCGGAAGGAGCCCCCACCGCAAACAAACTCTTGAAAAGAGTTAGGGGGGGATATTGCAACGAGGACAACGATCAAGAACAACCCCGCGAAGCAGCAAACCAGCTCTTCTAAAAGTCACATCCCTGGCATCACCGCAAGAGACTCTACAGCTACCACCACCACCACCAGCAGTAGCACCAGACACGTCAGGAAAAGGAGCGGCATATAATCCTTTCTGTCCACCTTCGCGTGTAGCGCTCCACCCCCAGGAGCAAAAGCTAAATCCGAATTTCGAATCCGAAAAAGTCCGAAACTCCAAAACGTCACCAAGGCTGTCTGGAGGCGGTAAGGGCTTCCACAAATCAGATTGGTAACACAGCACCTGAGCACGCTACCCGGGCACTGCCGGCAGTCCACCGACCGGCAGTCCGCAGACCTGTACATATATAGGCCAAGAAACGGAGGGGCTGCTAGTGCTTGTGCTGCGCTCCCCGTCTCGGCTCTTTGCTGCCCGCGTGGTACGTACGTACATACATACATACATACATACACACGTGCACGCCGCGTAGAAGCACAAAAACACAAGTTTGACGTACAGAGGTACGGCTGCGTCCGGAAAAATTCAAGTCCCTTCCCAGGTCCAACGCCACCGCCAACCACCAAAACGGAAAATAGGGCAACCACATCAACACCCGCCACCACCACAGCAGGTAACGACTCCATGTAAGAGATCAACTCTGAAGCCGCCAAGAATCTACCTACCAAGCGAAATCCCCCAGCACCAGTCCAGCCTTTTGGCCCTCCCTTTTCCAACTAATTCTGTACCGCGTTGTACATACCCGTACACCACGCCCGTACACTCAAACCTCAGACCAAGGCCGCTATGTCTCAGGGTGCTTACCTCCTTGCCCTGACGTACAACTTTCTGCCGTATCTGCCCTCCCCCGCAACCAACTCAGCAGCGCTCCTTTCCCCATTCCCTCTTCCTCCCTGCCCTGCGTGCCGTACCTCCCGTACCCTCCGTACATATCGGAATCATTCCCCAAAGATGCAGCCTCATGCGGTCTGCCCTCCAAAGCTGCAGCCAGCGGCAACTGCTGGTGGCTGCAAGCTCTGATGGCTCTCCCAACCAGCCCTCCCAACCGCCCCCTCTCACCCCGCCCAGCCTCGGCCACCACGTCCTTCACCTTTCTCCGCATCCCGCCAATAACAACATGGGCACCATCTGCCGGTGACGTAGTTATACTCCAAAAAATGTGATCATTTCTGGGTCACCTTGCTAAGCAGCTTCGCAGCCGTTACACCGCCGTACAGGACGAGCGCCGGCACCGCCCAAATCCCCACGTTAGACGCACTTCCCGTGGACTCCGCCGCGAAGCCCTGACAGCCAGAGGGAGCGGGTGGAGCGGGCAGGAGGAAGGCCCCCGCGGGGGGTTGGGGTTTACTTGGCGGGAAATGAGCGGAGGAGAGGGCCGAGGGGAAGTCATCCATTCAAGTGGCCGAAAAGAGGGAAAGGGAGCGAGGGGAAGGAGAGAGGGGAAGGAGAGAGGGGAAGGGAGAGAGAATCCCACCCCACCCCACCCCAATCCCCACCCACCTGCAGCTCGTGCACATACGCCTCCTCGAACGTCTTGCCCTCCACCAGCGGGCCCAGACCCTCCCCGGCGTACGACACGAGGGGGCTGACCTCCACCACACCCTCCTCCTCATCCGCCAGCGCGCCACCGCTGTCCTCCACCCACCTGGAAATGGCCCAAGGGCGGGACCACGCAGGGTAGGTGGGGAGTGTGCGTGTTATACGGGGGAAACAACATCACACAGCACCCTCACAAACGGATAGACATACGTACAGACGGACTGACTCAGCCATCATCATCAAGCTGTGTACCCGTATGTATGTCTGCACTCGCACATCAGGATCACAATTAGAAAGAAACCCGCAGACGGACGCGGAAGCGGCAGTACCCAGGCTTCTATACGACACTGTACCTTGTCTGTTGCAGCAGCAATGCATCCACAGCGGCCCTGGGAGAGGCGGTACGGTAGAAGGGTGCCGTACCCCACACGGGTGCGAACTCAGTACCCGCGTCCACCGCCACCATGGCGAGGTGCACCCGACCTCCCAGCAGCCGTCCGATCTAACAACACACGGAAAGGTTTGGGGACGGGGGAGAATTGGAGGAGGGGGAGAGAGGGAGAAGGAAACACATGCTAAAGTGCAGATATCAGCGATATCATCAGAAAGAGGGTTCGCGAAGGGGGATGGGAATACATTTTAAAAAGGGTGCAATGCGGGGGGTAGGGTAGAGGGGGTAGAGGAGGAGGAGGAGGTTAGCGGAAGCTGGCGGGGAGGTAGGAACGATGAATACCACCACCACCACTAGAGACATGAAATGACGTCTGTACAGACATACATCCCCCTTCATACGCACATACATACACACACGCATGTAGGCAATGTTCAATTTGAAATAAATCACGCACACATACACATGCACATGAGGCACGCACTCACCGCGGGAGACGCGAAGTCAGACAGACGCCGATCCAAACGATAGCCCGCCGCGCCACCGCCAGGAGCAGCTGGCGCCGCAGCAGCGCCGCCGCCGGACTTGGCAGCGGCGGCAGCAGCCGTCCCACGGGTCGGTACCTTGTCCGCCGGCGCCAGCCGGTACAGCGCCAGAGGCTGATCCCGTAGCAGCTTGTCAACCCGCCGTACAAAATCCATGGAAAAGTAGTACGACCCGAGTGCGGGTACGGCGTCGCCCAGGGTTGCCAACAGCGGCGACGAGCCGCCCAGAAGCTCCAAATAGCGCGAGTAGAGCTCCGGAAGCGCCGAAGGGCCTAATCAGGCAACAGACACCACAACACAACGCATCACTACACAATAATATAATACAATGAGGTGAGTAAAAGTACTAATCAGGCATTGACAGCGGAAATAAGCGACAGTGACCCCCCACCCACCCACTTCCCCTGTCACACCATAACCCCCCAATTCAAACACCCCTTCCGGACCGCACCCTACAACCCACCTCCCCCAGCCCGACTTCAACCCCATCCACCTCACTCCCCTAACACCCATATCTCCCGGCCACAGCAGCCGCCACTACTTCCCATCATTCTTCCCTACCTCACCCCGACCTTCATCCCCGCCCCCAACACACACACACACACACACACACACCTCTTCCCCCTTTCCTCTCTCATCCACCACTCACCCTCCGTCTGCACCCCCGGTACGGCAACCTTGGCCGCGGAGTCAATGGCGGTGGCGGCACAGGCCCCCAGGAAGGCGGGGTCCAGCGGGCGGCCCAGCAGGTTGTCCTCCACGCAGTCCACCTCGAGACAGCGGATACCAACTCGCCGCATGTGGGAGAGGGCGCCGCAGCGGCGTAGGGCCAAAAACACCTCACCTGCGGAAGGCGACGAAGCGGAAGATTTGGGCAAGGTGCAAGCAGGGTGGTAGGGGGAAAAGGGTCAACCACACGCAAAAGCGCAGAGGAGTGCAAACACAAATTAGTACATAACGAGTACACCGTGGATTGGGTGGTAGAGGGGAAAGGAGGGGGGACCTCGCCTACCGGGCTTATAACGCAGACATCCATCACCAAACAGACAAACATTTCCCGCTCCTCCTCCTCGACAGAAACATGTACATACATACACACATACTACCCGTTGCCATGTAAACCCGGACCCCCTCCCACACGCCCGCCCGCGGCCACCGTGTACGAACAACGTACCACTGCCTGGCTGGCTGCGCGCCGTACGGCATCCCGATGAATCAAGGACCACCTGCATTTTGCAGTTCAGTACGGAAGGGACCGATGCTGACGGGAGCGGATGAGGAACGAAGGGAAAGGAAAGACAACGGTACGGCGGTACGACGATTTTTCGATGATCGCGACAATAGCCCAGACAGCGCAAGGGATAGGGGGCTCAAGCATTGATCCCAAAAACCTTGGGAAATGGAAACCGTTCAATCACACAACCGGGACAAACGGCACAAACACAGGACGCGGTGCGAAAGCACATAACCCTCACCTTGAACTCCTCGTTCATCAGTGGCGGGCGTACTAAGTTGCCGTACACATGTACCTGCAAATAAAGACACCGCGACCGTCAGGACTTCGTCTTCGAGAGAACACACCAGGGGGGGGGGAAGAGGGAGGGGAAAAGGGGGGGGGAGCACATGGAGAGCCATATTCCCCACTCCATACCCCCAGCCCATACCCCCACCCCACCTGGCTGGGAAGCAACCCGAAGAAGTCCTTCTCCTCGAAAAAGGCCTTCAGGTGACCCACTGACGCGGGCGGCACCAGCAAATACCTGGGCGAGGAAAATCAAAACAACAAAGACACGATCAACAGCTGCATTAGCAGTCGCATTCGCAGTAGCACTAGCAGGGGAATCGCAACCAGCAGTAGCACCACGAGTACCGTTACAAAACCAGCAGCAGCAGTAGCAGTAGCAGTAGCAGCTGCAACATGAGCACCACCAGCAAGCAAAAAGCAACCTGTGCCCCCACAGTAAGCCCCAACATCACCCACCCATACACCCATACACGACCATCCCAAAACCTACCAAACCACCCTGACCAGCCACCAACCACCAGCCACCAACTACCAACAACCTCACCAGTGCAGGGGGTAAGCCACTCCGCTGTTGGGGCCACTCACGCTCTCCGCCGCCAGCAGCTGCAGCCTCGCCACCTTCTCCGCCCCCAGCTGCACCAAGCTCTTAGCGGAGGGGAGACCTAGGTCGGCAGTCAGTCGCAGCTCACCACCGTCTCCGCTGCTTCCGTCCACAGAGAGACCTGTGCAGGGTCGGAGGAGGGAGGGGAGGGGAAAGACGAACCACACGCGATTTAAGCTGCTGCCAGGGTAAGAAAGTAGCAACCGAAAGAACTGACCGAAAGGCGTCCGTGGCGACTGTGACGACTGTAACTGGAGGGGAGGGGAGGGGAGAGGAGGGGAGGAATCATATGCAAGGAAATCAAAAGTGAATTGAAAAGGTAAAAAAAGACAAGATCATCATGTAACGGGTTAATATGACAAAGATGAAAAAATCCAATCAATGGCAACCGCAGGAAATAGAACCAGAGACGCAACCTCAGCCCCCACCACCATCACCGCACGCACACATTGTCCCGGCCCCAGGTCCCCTCCCTCCCCCCCACACACACTTTACCTCCCAGGGTCACCAACGCTGCCTGGCCCCGCGCCAGCAACCTCAGTCCCGTCGTGTGCCAGTCGTTCAGGCGCTGTTGGAGCTCCTCCACTGCCCGCTCATGCGCCGCCTCGGCTTCACGCCGCGCCTCCTCGCCGCCCTCCTCCTCCGCCTCCTCCTCGTCCTCCGCGGGTACCTGTACAAAGAAATTGCCACAACACGGACACAGAGCCAAAATGAAAATCACAGAGACAATGCCACGTGCGGACACGAGGACATTGAGGGAAGGGGTGGGCTGAAGTTTCTTAACTTTGTCGTAAAGTAAAAAACAACGAAACAAGCGAACAGTCAAAACTAATGGCTGCCTGCCTCAAGCAGAGGCACAGAAGGGTGAGAGGTCATTGTAACGAAAGGGAGGGCTGTGGTGGTAGTGGTGGTGATGGTGAAGGTGGTGGTGGTGGGAGAGCGCAACATGCCTGCACGTGTGCGTGTGTCCACAGATGCGTATTGTCCGGCCCTCCTAGACGAAGTACGATCATGCCGGATGTGGAGGCCGCAGGCGAGAAAGAAGCGTTCAGACGAGAGCGTGCGCGGATGCGTGCATATGTGACTGTATGGCCGTGCGCATACGACACACCTCCCCAATTTCCCCCTACCCATAGCCCCCCACCCTCTTAACCCACCCCCATTCTTACCGGCGGTAGCCCCAGCCCCGCAAGGTCCAGCCACACGGCATCCTCCCCGTGGCGCGACGTCATCTCGTCCAGGGTGGGGAGACTGAGCTCGCACTCCTCCTGCGCCAAGTAATGAAATAGGGCATGTAGTGAGGGAGTAGTTTAAGGAGAAAATTTTGTGCAAGTAAATCTTGATGTACGGAAAAATGAAGTACAGAAACCCCCCGAGAAACATGACGCTCTATAAGACCGAAAGCCGCTCTGCTCCCCTCCCATAGATAGAGGGGAGGTGGAAGAGCAGGAGAATGATGCATACAGCAAAAATCGCAAAAAAACGTCGCAAGTCCCCCCAATCGAAAAAGCAACCGCGATAAATCAATAAGAGCAAAATCATCGAGGGAAAAGGGGGTTGGGTCTTCACGTCCCACACTCACATCCAGCTCGGCCTTTGCGGTGATGGGGATGCCCAGAGCGTGCTCTCTTAACCGCACGTAGGAGATATAGTCGTTGAGGGCCGCGGAGAGAGCCTGGGCCTGAGGGTGTGCGGGCGGGCGAGGGTGGGAGGGTCCATTATATATTATCGGCACAAATATTAAAATGGAAAAAATAGAGAGAAGATTAGCATGCCCCCTTCGCAGGGATGACGCGCGCACATCGAGAAATGGTTCCAAATGTTTTGGTCTGGTCTGGCGACACCTTTTGTGTTAGATGAAAGTCCTGGGTTCGATTCCTGGACAGACCCCCAACATTAATCGGGAGAATTCGGTTTACAAATCGCTGCTGAGGTGTGGAGATGAGGTCTAGTTGATGGACTAAGTTTCGCATGCTGAGTTGGTGGTGATGGCTGATGGCTGTCTCTACGGATGTCGGGCGACTGGATGAGGCGGGGTCTAGGTAGCAGGACCAAAAAACACCGTCGGTTGTACGGCGGAATCAACTTTATATCTCTCTCTATATATAGTCTATGGCCTCCCGGCTTTGACGGACCCCCCCGCACCCGTGCGGCACTTGTAACTTGTAACTATACGTGCATGTCTGTGTGCGCCCGTGCGAGAATTACACGACCCAAAATGCAATTAACTGACGACATAGGCGGGTTGGGAGAGGTGGGAAATCTCAATTGAAAACTCCAAAAAGTAAAAACACCCGACGAGTCTAAAGAGCCACAATCTGCTGTAGAAATCCAAAGCGATGAGGTATTTGCCCCTTCATGCCAGTGAGGAGAATTCATGAAACCATGGGAGGATGAAACCCTAAGGAACAAAGAATGAATTGCTGCGCCTGTGACTGTGGGTGAGGGTGGGGGTAAGGGTGGGGGTGAGGGGTTGAGGCAGTGCTACCCACTCACCAGCTCCGCGGTTCCCTGCAGGGCCGCCTTGGCCTCCACAGCCGCCGTACGACCCTCCGCAGTGCTCAGACCCAGCACCGCGCGGGCCAGCGCTGCACACCGCTCCGAAACCCCGCCACAAGCCTCCATTGCCGCCGCAAGACTCTCCGCGCGGCGCTCAATCTTGATGCCGAACACCGCCTTCTTAGCCTGCACGGGATAAACAAAATATACACACCTATTTAAAATCAAAACCTAAGAGCTCTTCCCATTCGCGAAATTCGAATCGACGGCCAAAAGCCAACTTAAGCAGCTAGTAAAATTCAAAAAAAAGGTGGTCTGGCAGCCAGCAGCTTCATGTCTACTACTAGCTCGCTCAGCCCTAAATACCATCTTAAAGTCGCCGTCCGAGGCTCGAGGATACGACATGACGTTTCTTTATATGATACAAACAAGCACACATACAGACAATAAATATACAGACAAACATATTAAGTGTATCCAAGTAGTATATTACCTGCTCCACGTCCGATTTGGCGCTCTCCCAGGTTTCGGTCTCCAAACGCAAAAACGCGGTCAGCGCCGAATAGATCGACATGGCATTGGCGCGAACCTGGCATATGAGGTAGTGAGGGTAAGGGTAGAGGGTTGGGGTAGGGGTAGGCAGAGGTGGGCGGGAAGTCAAGGGGCAAGGACTTCAAAGCCACGTGGACCCAGGCGGCGTGGGTGGAAAGCAGACATCGGCCAACGCTTCGGGAGTTTCGGGTCGTACAGAAGAAGCTCCCGAAAACAGAAATAGAGTTCCCGAAGCCGACCGGCTTGCAGTGCAGAAATAGGATCACACGCCGTATACGAATGTCAAACTATTGAAAAAAAGCATTTTCATCCCGCGGCCTTGTAACAGACATTGTACTGGAAGACAGAAATAGACCCGTTTCCCGAAACCAGAAATACCCCGTTTGCCGATGTCTGGTGGAAAGCGGCTAAATAGTTAGTTAGTCAGTTGGGTAGTTGTTGACGAGGAAAAATAACCACCAGACAACGGCAAAAGGAGTATTTCTGGTTTCGTGAACGGCGGGCCCATTTCTGTCTTTCCCGTCCATATTTTATTAAAGGGCCGCGGCTACAGGGGCCGAAGTGCATTAAGCCTTTGCCGATACCTGATATGACAGCAACCCCCTAGCGCGTCCTAAGGCTTCATATGCTTAATGAACAGCATTAGCATCGCTTGCAGTTTGCAGTAGCAAAAGCAATCGCATGAGTAGCAGTAACCATGTCATGGCGTCCCCTCCCCTCCCCTCTCCCCTCCAACCTTTTTACCCCCGATCCATCTAACCCCCCCTCTTCCCCCCCCCCCAACACACACAAACCCACCTGTAGCAGTTTCTCCCGGTCGGCCTCCTCCGCCACCTGACCCACTCGGGCGTCCACGGAACCGCCAATAGGGCCCAACTGACCAACCACCTCCTGTACGGCAACGTCGGGCTTGTTGGTGAGCTGGTTGGTAACCGAGGCGGCATGCGGGGACCGACGAAGAGGTGGTGTGCCTCTGCCTCAGGTGCAGCCGTGTGCTGAGCTATTCCACTGTCTGCCCCACGGTTCTACCCGGGGCCATTATTACTGCTATTATCACCATCGTCATTATCATCACAATCATCATCTACCTGATATCTCTACTCGTCGCATGGGCCGTCAGAAACGTTTTCACTGTCAAACGTACTCCCAGTTTCACTTCCGCGTTAAACCCCGGAAATTGTATTAACCCCCCCCTTCTGGCTTTGAATGTCCTGAACGACAGACAAGAAACGGATTGATGTCGTACAGGTCATGGGGGACTGGCTAAACCCGCTGGGAACTGACCCATCAACACCGGGGCGGGTTAGAGCTCGGGAAGGCACGTTCGTGCTCTCCACGGTACACGACACACGCACACGCACACACACACACACGCACACACACACGCGCGCGCGAAAACAAGAAGCAATGCTGTTGCCCCTTTCCCCCTTACCGCTCCCCCCTTACCAGGCCCCCGCTCCCGCCCCCTACTACCTTGAGTGTGGTGATGAGGCGACTCTGCACCAGGCCGTCGCCCCCCACCGGGTCGAGAGCGTCCGCTGATTCTCGAAGCAACTACAAACAGCAGTAGCAACATCAGTTGTAGCAACATCAGCAGTAGCAACAGCTGTAGCAAGGATAGCAGCAGGATAGAAGTACAGAAGGCGCCATTGCAAGAGCGCCGGGCAGTAGCATCAGCAGCAGAACACAACGCCGCCAACAGCACTAACAACATCATAGAGGAAACCATATATGAACGTCATGATACATTTCTTATCTCAGCTAAATGAAACACGCATACAGCACCGCCACCTTTCTATGCAATCCATGCAACTCTTTTCCCCTCTCCTCCTCCCCTGCCTTCCAGGGCCCCTGCTAGGACCCTGCTACAAGCCCCAACCCCCACACCTGCAACTTCTTGTTGGAAGGCGCTGGAAGCTCTAGCAGCACCAGCCCCTCAGCCAACAGCTCTGAAACCAATGTACGGCCCTCCGCCAGCCGTACAGGATTCCCCGCTGGACCAGCTTCCTCCTCCTCTTCTTCCGCCTGTTTCCCTTCCTCAGGAGCCACCTGCGTTTGCTCCGGATCCGCCTCCGCCACCTCCCCCTCCGCCGCCTTCGTCTCCGCCTCCGCCGCCTCTGCCGCCTCACCCTCCTCAGCTGCGCCATCCGCCGGCGCCGGCGTCTCCAAGTCTGCCGTAGCCTCGCTCTCCGCCGCCGCCTCTGCCTTGGCGGCAGCGGCGGCCTCCGCCGCGGCCTTAGCCGCTTCAGCCTTGGCAGCGCGCGCCGCCGCTCGCTCCGCCGCCGCGACTACCGCCTCCTGCTGCTCCGCCAGCCAGGCGTCTGTACGGCGCAGTACTTCTGAGCAGCCAGGGCCCATATCGAGCTTTGCGGTGTCAGCCGTCAGTTTGACCCTGGCGGCTGCGGTCTCTAGCCGGAGAACGGCCGCTGCCGACGCAGCGTCCAGTGCCGTACGGTCCGCCGCCGTCAGCTTGGCGACGGCGTCGGCGACGGCACCTGCCAGCGCGACGCCAGTCGGCGCGGCAGCAGCATCGCGGAAGAGGTACTCAATGGCAAGCAGCCGCGTGCCGGCGTCTGGGGCGTCGTCAGCGGCAGCCGCCGTCACCTTGCCGACCAAGGTCTTCATGGCCTGTACAACAGTGCTCGCGCGAAGACCATCCAAAGCATCCTGTAACAGCCAGTCGGCGGCGGCAACAGTAGAAAGGGACAATTAAAAAAGCGAATACGGCAAATTGCGGGCTGTATGAATTGGGGAACGATTGCGGCCGACGAGACGGACGGCGCTCGTGGCATTGGCACTGTCGTACTAGTTAGTACGGAAAAGAGAAGGTGGATTGAATCACAGGACGGAATATGCGACGGAACACCGGGGGACGGACGCGCTCCAGGGAGACGCCTCCATATTCATACATCAGGACGGGCTAGGTGGAGGGTCTACTGGTACCGGAACCCAACAGCGCAGCGCAGTGCAGTGCAACAGAACGCCGCAGAATACAGCGCAGTAAGACACAGCATATCACAAGACGCTATAACACTACACGACACCGCACAACGCAGCGCAGCACGACCCATCCCAATCCCCAACCACCTGCAGCTTCAGCACAGCCCCCTCCTTCTCCGCATCTGCCCGAGCACGCGCCTCCGCCTCCACACCCCTCCGAACAGCCTCCACATCCACCGCCTCATCAGGCGTCAGAGCCTCCTCCTCCTCCTCTTCTTCCTCCTCATTCCCATTCTCCTCCTCCGCCGCCGCCTCCACCACGGCGCCTCCCATCTCCTCCGAAACCGGCGCAGGAGTCCCTGACTCCGCCTGCGCTGCTACGGCCTCCTCCTCCTCTTGCTTCTCCACCTTCTCCTCCGCACCCTCCGCAGCACCTTCGCCTTTGCCGCCCTCCTCCGCTTCCTCCTGCTCCTTGACAGCCTCGCCTTCATCCGCCTCCTCCTTCCCCTCCTCCTCTTTCTCCTCATCAGCTGCCCCCTGCTCCGCCGCCTCCGGCCGCCCTGCCGCCTCAGCGGGATCTGCTGCAGCCTCTGCCGGTGCTGAGGCCTCGGGTAATTCACCCGCCGGCTGCTCGGCAGCCGCCTTGGCCTCGGCTTCCGCAGCAGCAGCAGCAGCGGCCGCAGCGGCCTTGGCCTCGGCCTTCGCTGCTTGTCGAGCTGCGGCCCTGTGTGTAACCATCCGTTGAGGAAAAGAACACCACCAAAACAAAACCTATCATATTTTGTGAAAGGTTTAGCATCTGGCGAACAAAACAGCGCTGAACATTCAGCAACGAGGTACGTCCGTCCCATATAGAACATATCCACATGGAAATATCCTGAACAGCACATACATACGTACATACATACATACACACATGCATGCACACACACATCGTGAATCTCTCGAGTCCGCGAACAAACACGTACCTAACAGACATAAGATAAGACCGGATGGGTGTCCTGCCCTACCTGGCCGCCTTCCTCTCCGCCCGCCTCTGAGCCAGCTCAGCACGAATGGCGCCCTCCAACAGCTCGCGGAGCTGAACCGCAGCGGCGCCGGGCGACGGCCTTGCAGGCGGAGGCGAGGGCGGCGAGGACGGCTCCGCCGCCTCCGCCTCACCATCAGCCTCGCTGTGGGCCTCCACTTCACCATCCTCCTTGCTGACGTCAGCCGCCTCCGCCACCGCCTCCGCCGCTGGCGGCGCCGGCGTCAGCGCCGCCAGCAGCTCCGTCTCCTTCGACTTCTCCTCCTCGCTGAGCTTGACCCTACAAGCCCCACCACAGTATCAATATCAGTAGCAGCCGTATCAGTCGCAGCAGGACAGGACACACCGCATACAACACCGCCTCCTCATTCACCCTTCCGCCAGCTTCCCCTCCTCTCCCGCCCCCTCCCAGGCTTCCGCCTGCACCACCCCCACTCCTCTCCCGCCCCCTCCCAGGCTCCCGCCTGCACCAACCCCACTCCTCTCCCGCCCCCTCCCAGGCTCCCGCCTGCACCACCCCCACTCCTCTCCCGCCCCCTCCCAGGCTCCCGCCTGCACCAACCCCACTCCTCTCCCGCCCCCTCCCAGGCTCCCGCCTGCACCAACCCCACTCCTCACCCACTCCCCCCCAACCACGCCGCCGCCGCCGCCGCTGGCCTCACCTCATCTGTGGCGTGAGCTTCCGGATGGCATCCACCAAGGCCGCCGCCGCCGCTGCCCCCGACTTTGTGCCGGCTGCGTCACAGCAGGCCATCTCGGCCATGAGGGCCGCCAGGAGGCCCAGACGGTGCAGGGCGGGGGTGGAGGAGCTCGCGTGCCAGTGGGAGGGAGAAGCTGTGCGGGGAAGGGGGGGGGAAAGACCACAAACGAGTGAAGGGGGGAGGGGAGGGAAGGGAGGAAAAAGGGCACGAGGGGAAGTGGAACATGGTGGGTAGTGTTTGGGGATGGGCTGTGGTTTAATATGCTTTTCCGGTAAAGCAGAAGGGCGAGAAGAGAAAAACTGCCGTACTCACGCAAATAACGCACGTACGGAAAAAGACTGTCACCAGAAAGGGGAGGAGAACGGAGAGGGAAGGGAAGGTGGCACTGTGTGTGGAGTAACAGAAAAGATTGAGGGGGTGAACCTCCTTGCCTTGCAAGATTGTCCGAATAAGTTTAACCGCGAACCAAAACCTGACCTCCGCCAACGACCAACCGCCAACTTACCAGCCTGCAGCGTCAGCACCCGACGGTAAGTCGCCGCCGTCGCGTCATCAATCTCCGCCATCCGCGTCGCCCGCTCCGCCGCCACCGCCGCGTCAGCCTCCGCCGCCACCGCCGCCGCCGCGGCGTCCTTCTGCGCCGCCACCGTCGAATCCGCCGCCGACAGCGTCAGCGGCGCCTTGAGCTCCGTACGGATGCGCTCCGCGGCGGCGGCGGAAGCCGCGCCCGTCAAGCCCACGTCCTCCAACAACACCTTGAGCATCTGCACCAGCACCACCGCAGGTACGGGGAAAGAGAGAGAGGCGCAGATGAAGACATTTAATTTACACAGGCACATAAACACACCAGAACAAAACCTACCGCCTTCGCGACTACAGCGCTGCTTATTTCTACGGGCTCTTCACAACACTCTTCTAATCAACATCTATTTATTATAGCCAAGCTACATTTACAGCAGTTTCATTGGAACATTCTAATGACAAGTCGCTGGTGACTACCGCGCTTGCTTCGGTAGAGCTATTCATGCACAACCACCATGGGCATTTCCCTCATCACGGCTCAGGTCATCAAAACACGCATACACCAAAAAACAATTCGTTGGTTGGGAGTCGAGCCAGCTATGCGGGGGTGAACTAAACACCCCTCCCCCTCTTTTTCCCCCCACCTGAATCTTCCTCAGGCAGGCTGCCACCGCCAGCGGCTGCACCAGCAATTTTAGACCCCCCGCCTGCGTACGGCGTTCGGCGTCGAATGCGGCCCGTACAGCCACCTCCGCCGCCGCCAGCCGAGTCTTCAGATCTTCGCAAACAAGGGCGACCCAGGACGGGGAATAAACCCAGGTCAAGCGGATCTTGCAAACAGCAGTAACAGCAGTAACCACCACCATCATCATCATCACGGAAAAACCAAACGTGGTTAAGCGACGGCATGTCCCAGCGCATTGTCGCATAGAAGGAAACAAAAGTATGAAGGCACACTACCTCCTACCTATCGAAGCCCATCCCCGAAGCCCCCGTGAATTTCAATCTCATGCCATTCCACACCACTAACCCAGCGACGATGTCCATCGACGACGTCATACACCCAAAAAAAGCCTTCCCCAACCCCACCACCCCCGAACCACTCCCCGATACCTCTCCCTCCCGAATCCAACCACACCCAACCTCACCCCATATCCCGGCCAAACCCCGGCGGCCCCAGGTAACCGCCCAAAGCGAGCACAGCACGCACCTCCCAGGCGCTCCGAAGGCCCGGCTGACCGCACCGGTTCAGCTGACAAAGCAGGAAGGGCCTCCGTTACCTGCATACCATGAAAATGCCACATGGCCACGTCACCACATGCCACCACATAGCATCGCCATCACAAAGCCAGGAGAGGTCCTCATGGTAAAACCACCAGTGGAGGAAGGGAGCAAGACAGGACGCTCCTTGAGACAACACAAATCCTACGAATCAACCCATAACCAACCAGCCGACTCATGTGCCCCCCCCACGGCTGAATCTCCGCGTCAAGGAGCCGAACCATTTCACTGGTCGGTTGAGGGGCGGGGGGGGCCTATGACTACATGTAGCAACGTCAAGGGAAAACAGCTGCCGACGTCGAAAGTCGGGCCGGGGGCAACCACACGCGAGGAAATCAGAAATCAACAGCCGGCGTTGGTCCGGGGTTGGTGTGGGGTGGAAAGACGAACCGGGGGGTGGGGTGGGGTGGGGTGGCGGGGGAGGGGGAAATACTAAGAAAACACCGTGGGGGGATGTGTGGTTTCTCTCTCTCCCCCCCTTAACCTCTTGTGCCGTGTGCACTTCCGCGCGCTCACTGGTACGGGCCGCTGTCCGTTGGCCCCTACAGAGGGACCCAGGGCTATACTCGCCAACCCGCCACCAGCAGCAGCAATAGCAGCAATAGCAGCAGCAGCTACAGCAGCACATACACACACACACGCACCTGCCACAGCCAGTTCCTAGCCAGGTCCTCAGCCTGCTGCTTCACTACGTCCGCGAAATTGAACTCCAAAGCATCGGCAGCCTGCAGGGCAGTGGAACACGTAGATGTCCGTATATGTCTGTCTGTTTGCCTGTATGTATGTTGTATGTTGATGTATGCATGTCGGCGGGTTGATCAGATCAGCCCCACCCACACAGCTCCAAAGGTGGCTACAAAGAAGGCTCACGCAATTACATGTACGCGATGGAAACAATCCGCACCACCACCCCTGGGATGTGGGCTGAGGACTCGCATCACGATGATGAAAGAAGAAACAAACACCTTAACTGTCGACGTCCAAAGCCCCGAGTGGCAAGCCGGTGGGGAGAGTGGAGACATAGGAGTGCACATGCCAAGTTCTGGTGTTCGTTTTTATATTGACGATTGGTGACGGTTGGTACGGAAATCAATCCTGGCCAGGGGGGAACCCAAGATGCGTACGATACGATACACGTGACAGGTGACCATGTCGTACCCAAGATGCGTACGATACGATACACGTGACAGGTGACCATGTCGTACCTGCAGCAGGTGCACCTTGCCCGCCGAGCCGTACTCGGTCCAGGGCCGTACAGGCTCATCCGTTCGCAGCTCCGGAACCCAGCTGCCCGCACCAGCCCACTGGGCCAACTCCGCCAGGTCGGTCGCGAGCTGTTGAAGAAAAAGAGGGTTCACAGGGTGTGCGTGTCGTGATCGGAAATCGTGATCGAAAGAAACCCACATCATGGCCCACCTCGCCCGGCGATGGCGCCAAAGAAGGCTGCGAATTTCCATCAAACACTGACCTCTTGGCCCGAACAAGGATTTGTGGCGTGATCACGTGCTTCTACATACATACATACATTCATTCGGCCCGCGGCTCCCGCGGCCCATAGCGTAATTTAAGTCATACATACATGCATACATCAAAACAGCCTCTACTACCTGCGTGATTTGTGCGGGCTTCAACTTCTTGTTTCTCCATTCCTCAAAGATGTGGTCGTGGCTGCTGGCAGCGGCGCCCTGACCCATAGCCGCTGAGGCGCGCTGCTTGTTGGCCTGGTAGGGCGCGGCAAGCCGAGGAAAGTGGAGATAGAAAGCGCACATGCCATGCAGGAATGCAGGAAGAAGTCGCACGCGGACATGCAAAACTGCTCTTTACTGGGGCTGGAGGGGCCCTTAGACCCTTTCCCTCGAGTACGCGTGTGTGCTTGCTAGTGCCGGCTGAGCGATGAATATGGCAGCGGAACTGCTGGGAATCTTTAGATTTTGGAGATATCGGGAATTGTAAATATTTTGGTGAGTTGTTGAAAGATTGCCGTGTACTCCGGTGCAGGTAGGTAGACAGCATGTGAGCCAGGCAGGCTCAGGAAACCAGACAGTGGACAGTGATGTCATGTGTGTGGGGGGTGGGTGGGTGGGTGGTTTGCGTGGGTGTGGGTGTGTGTGTGGGGGGGGGATAATGAGGAGGAAAGGCGGTCCTCTAGGAGAAGGTCGCTAGAACCGGGGAAACCAGGGGCAGAAGGGGACGAATCTTCAGTGCCTAACAAGGGCAGGGGTGGGAAGTGGGAAGCTGGGTGGGGAATACATGCAGGAAGTGCCATGACGTAAGGCAGGGAGAAGGTGCACGCTCGCGGTTTTGCGCGTGCTTAAGAAAGAAATGCTAGGTAGGTTATTTCCCCAGCATTCGATTGATGCGCTGGAGGTCGTGACCCAGATCAGAGATCACGCACAGATCGGGGAGAGTTCTGCCGGACCGGAAGGACTTTGGCAGCTCATGATGCGCCGAAACCGGCTGAGGTAGATCCGGGGTTGGGAAAAAAACAATCGGAGCCTGCCATGGCGAAGTCGGGAAAAGATACTGAGGCAGCGCCTGGGTTAGCTCCTAAATCCCCGCCATGTACCAGCTGTCGACTTCGTTGACGACCTCCGCAAACGAAACCCCAAGCATGAGGCCCCAGATGAATTTAGTTTCTCTGGAGGGGAATTGGTCGCAATCACGACCTTTCGGCGAACGGAAGCTCACCACCTGTGCCTTGCATTCGCGGTTCCAGTCGCCGAGCAGACGCCCGTCGTCAATATTCTTCTCGATCTTGGACACATGCTTCTGCAGCCTCCCAAGGACCTGCCATGTAGCCCATGCGAAGCCACCCGTAAAGGCCAGCTCCATATCTGCTGCTGTGCTTCGTCGCCGCCGCCCGCAGCGTGGCCCTGCAGCTCCTGCGATCCACCAAGATGGCCGTAATTATTCTCCCGTTATTTAAAGGAGCCACATGACGCTAAGCTCTAAAGCAGCTCGAGCGAAAAGGGGTCAGAGATAGTCGGCGTACAAGACCACCATCATTTATATAGGACACAATCTTTCAGATCAGTGCATGCCTTCATATTTACGGACCTGATCAAAACAAAATGGGATCGACTGCAATCGCGTGTGGTGTGTCCCTTCAGCGAAATAGCTTCGTTCCAAGCAGCATGAAGAATCCCTGCACGATGGTAGTGGGATTCCTCTACATCTACACCTCCAAATGCAATCCAGGAATAGTATGATGCGCATCAATCGCAACCAACCTCAACTCTGTTAATTTCCGTACGAGTATGCAGTAAAACTTTGTATGCTTAGCTTGGGGTCAATTTGAGCATATCTCCATCGGCACAGCATCGCCGTGGTCTCTCTATGCCAAATCCTTTGTACTATTGCTACCCGTTCTGTACTTTGAGCTTACCTCTTTAACATCACAGTGACACAAGCTTTGATTCTTATGTTTTAAATAGGTATGATATGTAGTTTCGATATATATGGTTATTGTCGTCGACGGAAAAGTCATGACAATGACGTCCGTCTGCATGCCGACCGGTCGACAACCAACAGCAAGCTAGGTCACCATAAGTTAGACGTTATGCTGCATAAAGCCTATCGAAACTAGCCGTCATAGGAGAAGACACATTACGGCCTTGCATGTGGTTGGAAATTGGGCAGCGCTTTGAGCACCCAGTATAAACGGCATGGCCACGACAGCTAGCCATGGACATGTATCACCAGTGATTTCAGGGGCAACTGCGAACGGGGCTAGCGCGGCAGCTGCTTTACCTTACATCACAGTCGGCGGTATGCCTGCCGGGCCCGGCGGGTCCACATCCCCCGTGGGGCGAGAGCGCAGCAGCCTGACCTCGCTGGGCGGAGCCCCTCGCAAAGAGACAAGCTATGCATCCAGCTCCGCATCAAAGGTAATTCGCTATCGTAGGTTCGTTGGTCCCGAGGCTGTAGCGACCGGGGGTGATACCGGCAGGGGTTGGCGATTCGAGGGTTTCCGAAACGGCGCAGGAGCAAAGGCGACAACGTTTCTTTAACCCCTAAGCCACAAAAGTACTGGATATGTCATATGGGGGATGAGCGGGATGGATGCGCCAGATGGGGGAGAAAGGACGGTCAGTCGGGCTGGGCGGGCCAGGCTAAGGGGAATTAGATCGCGCGCGCTCGCGGGAAATACCCAAGACCCCCACCTGGCCGCCACTCCAGACGCTGCAGATTCCGAATGCATTCAGCAATCAGCAGTGGTTCCCGTCAAGAAAAGCTAGTGGCGTTTTATGTGACATTTGATAAAGGGCGAACAGATGATAAACGCGGGCCAAGTAGGCGCCTGTGTGTGTGTGGGGGGGGGGGAGGCCGGGGGGAGGCCCCAACCGGCGGGAGGAAACCCAACCCCAAAGGTGGGTTTGCAGAAACTCTATGCGGCATTACGGGATGTGGGGGCTGTTAAGGGTAAGAAAAGGGAGTTATCGTTCAGATCCAGACGCGTGGTGAGGACTTCATGGCGGCGGGTAAAGCGCAAGGTTGAGATGAATGTGTGTATGTGTATCTGTCGGTAGGGGTGTAAGTACGTAAAGAGGTAGGTAGGAGTTGTAGATGTGTGATGTCGTTGTGCTTCAATGAAGCTCGCAGCGGGACGGTGTGCGTTTATACGCGTGTGTTCGTCTGTCTGTCCGTCTATCTGTGCCATCATACATACGTTATCTCCTTTCTTCCCGCGCACAGATCTCCATCGCCACACTGCCGCTGGATGCCTTAGAACACATCATTGAGGACTTCAAAGCGCATCCAAACGGTGACGGCGGCGGCGGCGGCGGCGGCGGTAAGCACGGCCACGCAGCTGGAAACGGCCGCAGTGGCGGCGGCCGCGGTGGCGGGGGCGGCACCGCCACCGTACGCATCACCACCACCACCAATGCTGCCGGCCGCGCCGCCGGCCGTAACTGGAACCAAGTTGCCGGCGGTGGCGCCGCCGCCGCCTCCGGCGGCGGCGGCCCTACGCGCCGTAGCCACGGCAACTTGGGTTCCATGTCATTCAACTTCGCCGCCAAGCCCTCCACCCCGCCGGGAAGCGGAGCGGGTGGGCCCCAGGCCGCGGGGGTGCTGGTTCCGCAGCCCCTGCTACCGGGACTACCCCCGGGGGCGCCGCTGTCGCTGAGTAGCCGGGCGGCTGCGGTGCTGCAGGTATGCGTGTGTGTGTATGTGTGTACGTATGTGTGTATGCGTGTGTATGTGTGTACGTATGTGTGTATGCCTTTTGGCGGGTTGTCGGTGGCATGGGTGGGTTACTTGGTTGGGGAGGCTCTCCAGGCGGCATGCGCGCGTGTGTGTGTGTGTGTGTGTGTGTATGCGTCAGATGTCGGTGTAAATGTAGGGGACCTGGGCAAGAGGGGGAGGGGAGGAGGATGCAGAGGTGTCGGGGGAGGGTCGGCAGTGGTCCTTGCGAGGGGGGGAAAAAAGGGCAACAAGAGCAGAAAGTGTATGTACGGCACACGGCGTTTGCGGAATCGGCGGCCCAAGTCCTTCCTGTCTACGCGGCCCCCTCACTCTCACTCTTCTCTCTCACTCCCTCCCTCTCTCTCTCACACTCGTTCAGGTTCCCGAGTCCGCGGCTCACCTGCAGCGCTTCATCGCCCTGGACGCCGCCCAGCTGGAAAACCACTTCGTCATCGCCAACCCCAACGGAGCGCCCGTCAACGATTTGCAGGAGGTGCCTGGGGGGTGGGGAGGGGGTTGACGGAGGGGGGTGTCTGTGTTTTGATTAAATTGCGCCGCGAGCAATACATACATACATACAGGTTTGAGCAATTCACAATGTCTCAGTGTCTGTCTGTCTGTCTGTCTATCTGTCTGTGTGTGTGTCTGTTTCTTAATCATCTAAGCCGCGGGTGCCACCTTGCACCCCCCTAGGTGATCGACACCGCCTCCTCAATCGATGGATTGCCGCCCCATCGGGAGACGGTGGTAGTGCTGACGGCTATGCCTGACGGCGTACCCGTACCGAGGACTGTCCCAGTGGATCAGCCCATTCCCGGAAGCCTCCGCCGCAGCGGCATCATCCACCCGTACGGGTACGGCATCTCCGCGACCGGCGGCGTCAGCATGGCGGATGCCCTGCTGCTTGACGGTGCCGTACGGTCCAGCGCAAGCTCGGCGTCATTGCTGGCGGCGGCGGGGCAGGTCTCCGCTGTGGACGTTGCCGCCGGGTACGACGCCGGTGACGCCGACAGCGGCGGTGTGTCGGCGTCGCGTCGACCTTCGGCAAACTTGGTGCCGACGGCGCCGGCGGCACCTCTGTCGCCACAGCGTTCCATGGTGACGTTGCTTTCGCCGCGGCGCGGCGGCAGCAGCACGCCGCCGGCGCGCCGATCCGACACGGGTGTTGTGCCGCGCGGGATGCCGTACACGCCGACCAGCCGTACACCGTCGGAGTCGGTGTCGATGGCGGCGGCCGCCTTGTCGCCGCCGCTGCGCTCGATGACTGCAGGCACGACCTCAGGGCCGGGGGGGTCGTACTACTCAGGCACCGCAACCCCGAGTTATAACGGCAACAACACCTTGCCGGCGTTGGGTGACAGCGGCCGTGTAGGTGGCGGCGGCGGCGGCGGCGGCCTTCGCAGGTCGGCGCCGCCGCGACGTGGCTCCGCTTCACCCCTTGTACGACGAGAAGGATCTGCCGAGGGCGTCTCGCAGGTGCTGCCGTTACTCGTACGAATGAACTCGCCGGATCGTCAGTACATGGCGGCAGCGGCAGCTGGCGGCGTCGACGCTGGTGGCGGCGGCGGCGGCGGTAGCGGCGACGCGTCAGTCAGTGGCATAGATTCGGCGGTCGTATCGCCGATCAACGTCGGCGGCTCTGTGCTCGGTGGCGGCGGCGGTGGCGGCGGCGGCGGCGTCATGTCCCCTGGGTCACGTTCTGGATTGTTCTTCGGAGTCGCTGAACAACAAGACGTGAGGTGAGACCTACCTGATGAGAGCGCTGATGTGCGGGTGATGAGGAGTTTTGTATGTGGGCCGATACGGTAACGGTAGGGATGCTCCTTTTCCTCCTGCTCCTCCTCCTTCCCGCCGCTGCTCAGCGGAGGAGGAGGAGGAGCGGCGCGGGATGTGTGTGCGTGTGTGTATGTGTGTATGTGTGTATGTGTGTGTGTGCGTGCGTGCGCTCGTACTGTAGGGTGGAATGTGGTCGCATGTGCCGTTTATGCATCATGTGCCAGGGAATGTAGCATCCATGGAAAACACATTACGGCAAAAGTGCTGATGTGATAATGCCAATAGTGTGAAGCGCTCAGCTATCAAACCGCCAAATCTGGGTCGGTCCCTTTCTTCCGGCTCGCGCATTTTCCTTACCTGTTGTTTTCCTACCCGTTTTATTACCTGCCTTACCTTTTCAAACCTCCCGTACTCTGCTGTGATTCGTACTTTTTTTTGTTTACACCCATGAACCGTCCTCCTCTGTCCCGTGGGTGTGTGTGCGTGTGTGTTTTCCCCTCCTTGCAGCCCCACGCGTTCCCGCCTCCATGCCCGTATCGCCACTCTCCAGTCCGAACGGAGTACTAGACAGGCGGCGCAGCCGCCGACTCCGGCCCCGCGGCCTTCTAGCCCGTTGCAGCCCCGGGGTGTTGCAGGGGGGGGGATGGGGCGGGGGGGGATGGTGGGTGCATTGACCGGCAAGGACCTTGTACGAGCTGCCATGAAGCAGGTGCGTGCCAGGGTGGTGAGATCTTTTAGGGTTGTCTGCCGGATTTAGATGCTGGATCCAGATCTGGATCTGATGGTCCTTGCCCGCTGGATCCAGATTTTGAACTTGGCTGTGTTGTTTTCTGGATTTTTGAACGCACGCGTGGATATCTATCAATCTTTTACCTGGGGCTCCACCTCTCCATCGGCATGGCGCTCATTATTCCGCCATCGCTGCCGTACACGAATACCCATCTCTCCCACCCCCCGCGGCGACTGCACCTCTCATGCACCTCACGTGATCATTGCCGTACACGAACAACCATCTCCCCCACCCCCACGGCATGGTTGCAGGTCGAGATCTCCAGCAATGAGACTTCCGACGTCAGCCGCCGTACATCGCACTCGTCCATCATCAACGCTTATGGCGCTGCTGCTACCGCTACCGTTGGCGGCGGCGGTGGCGGCGGCGGCGAGTCAACCTCGCAGTCGGGGGCGGCGGCCCTGACGTTGCCGGCGCTGGACGTGGCGGTGGCGGCGGCGGAGGCGGCACGTGAGGATGAGGAGCAGCAGCGTGAGGCGGCGGAGAGGCGCCAGGCGCGGCTGATCAAGTCACTAACGATGTGTGAGTGGACACCCTTTGCGTGCGTGCGTGCGTGTGTGTGTATGTGTGTGTGTGTGTGCGTGCGGATATCCCGAACGATCGAATGTATGTAATGCAATCGGGAAGGCTTTTATGGCCGCACCGCCTTGGAGCGGCAGTGTGTCGTTCGTCCGGAAGTTCTTAGATATGATCTTTTTCCGGCATTTTGCCTCCATAGCCTTCTTCTTTGCTTTACCCTCGGCCAGCGTTTGACCACTCTACCAAGATACAATTAGATCTCCCGCTACCACTTCCGTTACCGTTACCGTTGCCATTACCGTTACCATTACCGTTACCGTTGCCGCTGACGCACTCTTCCCCCTTCCCCTTACATCCCCGTGTCATGCAGTGCTGACCACCGGTCGGGGTGAACGGCCTTCACGGCCATCATCCGCGGCCTCGCACTTGAGTCGCCGGGGCTCCCGCATCTCGCGACGAGACGAAGACTGCGAAGACGCGGACGTTGACGCGGACGATGACGACGACGAAGAAGAAATCAACAGCGACGATGCTGATACGGACGCTGGCGGCGTCACCCACAGCGGCGGCGGCGGCGCCCCCGCCAGTGGCGGCGCAGGAGCCAATCGTTCGCCGCGGCCTTCCGTGGACAGCGCATCAACCGCAGCCACAACCGCCACCCAACCGTCGCAACCATCAGTGGAGAACTCCCAAAGCACCGTGCGCGGCGGCAGCGGCGGCGGCGACTTGGCACCTCAGCCGCCGCCGGCTGCGAAGCCCGCGCGCTCTCCCCACCCGCCGCGCTCCTTCCGCTCCCGAAGTCATCGGCGGCTGACGTCTTCGTCCGCCGGATCGCGCCTGACGCTGCGCGGCCACAGCAACCGGAGCATCCGGGTCGGCGGCGGTAGCGGCGGCGGCGGCGGCGGCGGCGATAGCGACAGTGATACGCTGGAGGCTGCCGCGGCCATCGCAGAGAATGGCGGTCTGGATGCCATGGCGCTGTTGGAGTTTGCTCAGCAGCTTGATGAAGCCAACGAGGAATTCAGGCTGGTTGAGGTGGGTGGGCTGGTGAGGAGCGGATGGTTAAAAGAGTAGTTGGGTAGAGCGGAGTGATTGGGTGGGGTGTGTGTGTGTTGATTGGCGCGGTTTGGGGGTTTGGCATGCCGTGTCTGGTTCTTCTTTGGCACTGTGTTTTACCCCGGCTTTCTCCTCACTTTTCCCCGGGTGGCCCTTTATCTTGCTGCCCGCGTTGCCCCCTCCTCCGTCCCCTCCCTTTCGTGCTCCTGTCTACTTCCCCTGGCATGCTCACACCCCCATCCGGTTTGATTGTTCCACATGTACGACTCAACGTTCGGGACATTTTGGTTTGCTTGTGCAACATCTAATGTACAACAATGTACAACATCCGTGAATTACGACACGTGATACCCAAAACGCGAACGACAACAACACACTTTTAAAACTGGCATCGACATGTATGTACTGACAACAACAAATAAAACTGAAAAACTGGAAACAACCTTTCGATTGACAACGATATTTAACTGACGGCAATGTTCAAATGACACCATCAACAATCAAAAATGACAACACCACCATTACCAACACCGCCATTACTATCATTACCACCGCCGCCGCTCTTCGGTGCCTTCTGCCGTCCCTTTCTCCGCCCGCCATTCCGAAATCCTCTTTCATCCACGCGCCATCAACTCCCATACTCTCCTACTATCACCGTCTACCGCCAACCCAACCACCCTTATCGTTATGTTTTACAATCCTGACATCTACCAATAATCCGTACTACCGTACTACCGGACTGTAACGGTAACTTACATGCAACCGACTACTGGACTTCCGGACCTGCTTTTGCTCTGTACTACCTTTTCCCGGTCTCTGTGCTGCCACGCACTGCTGCCCGTACGACCGTACTGTACGACCTTGTCCGTGCAACCGTACTACGCGATCATATTTTCTTTTCATTCTACTACGTGGTCACGTTATCCGTACAACTGCACGACCATATTAAAACCGGTTTCAGAGTCCTCGATGGGAGGAGGGAATTTCACCCAGACCCCCCCCACGCAAGGTCCGCTTTTCACGCCGGTGCGCCTCGGTTCATCGACACATAAGAGGTGATATAGCTTCGGAAGGGGAAGAGCGCGGCCGTTACTTCGGCGACGACGAACATGATGATAAAGATGATGACGACGAGGCGCAGCACGGCTTAAAAATGTTTCCACGTCAGCTGCCTTCGACGGTGTTTACGATGGTTCGTACAATATCGTACCGCTGGCTGTACATGCAATTTTCTTCCCCCACCCCACTCTTCGGCTGCTTGGATGCTGCTTTTCAATTAATTAATTTTATTAAAGCGAAATGACGTTACCCGGGGTTCAGCCGTAGCACTGAACCAAGTAAAGCATCCAGGCACTGAAAAAGCCAGCAAAGAGCCCATCATGTACCGGTCCAGGCGAGTGCCATAAGTACCACGTGCCATAAGTAACCCCCCCACCCAGAGCCCCTCCAGCAAGCCCCTCAGCAGTACAGAAGGAAGGGGAGGCACTCCCTCGGCACGGCCTGTAGGGGTAGTGGGCTCAGCAGGATGAAGGTCCCGCATGGGGAGCTAAGTGGTAGCTAAGTGCAGGGCCCCCTTAACTGTCCTAACCGACCTAACCGCCACCTAGCATCAGGATCACACCACTCCTCGCGGATGGCCCAGAGCTTTCCAAGGCATGCCATCCATCATCAGGGGAATCAGTTGGTATAGAGCGGTTCAGCTGAATACTCACAAATCAATCGATAACAAAGCAGAGACACATACAAACACACTCACTCACTCTCTCTCTCTCTCACCTATCGCTCACACACGCGCACACACTTTTTGGAAACGTCTTTTTTTTAGTCACACTCCAATGCCCACTTATCCTTCTCTCTAGCTCTCTCTTCCTGTGTCCCCCTCTCTCCCTCTCCTCCCCTCCCTCTCCTCTCCCCCTCCCAGGCCGCTCGCGAGCGGGCTCGTCGCCTGGAGGCCATGTTGACTCAGGCCCAACTGGCCGCTACCAAGCAGTCCGCAGCAGTAGCTAGGCGCCGTGCGACGGGTGATGGCGCCACTGCCGGTCCCGGTCCTGGTGCTGGTGGTGGCGGTGGTGGTAGTGGTGGTGGTGGTGGTGGTGGTGGTGGTGGTGGTGGTGGTGGTGGTCGACCTGCGTCTCCCGACCGCCAGCCCCTGGACTTGTACCTGCTGGCCAAAAGAAGGGAGGGCATCAAGCCGCACAATGTCACGCAGGTGCGTGCTTGGACGTCTGTCTGCCTGTCTGTCTGTCTGTTTGCCTGTCTGTCTGTTTGTCTCTCTGTCTATGTGTTTGCGAGTCGGTGTGTCCGTGTATCTGTGACACGGGCCGCTACTCTCCGGGGGATGGGAGATACGGCAGGCAGGGAAAGAGCAAGGGACACGTGTCCATGTATGTATGTATTTATGTATGTATGTGTGTGGGGAGAGGGTGGGTCCTTGGGCAACTAGCGAGTGCGCGTGGGGTTAGAAATCTGTCTACTTCGCCCCACTCATCCCTCCCCTTCCACCGCGCACTCCCCCCCAACCACATCCACCACAACCACCGCAACCACCATAACCACCACAACCGCCACAACCACTACGTCAGGTTATATCGTCCATGGAGGCCCCCCTGGACCGACCCATGGAGGTGGACCTGGATCATCTTCTAACTTCCATCGGTGACGCCCTGGCGATGGACGAGCAAGACGTACAGGCGACCAAGTTTGACGAGACGTTCAGAATCCGGACAGAGAGGTGAGACGTCCGTGTGTGTTTTCTTACCATTCTCCATATTCCCCCCGTCTTTCCCCCGCCAGCTCTGGACCCCTGCCGACTTCCCCTCCCCCCGCCTCCCCCCGCCTCCCCCCGTGCACATACACATTGGCAGGTACCTGGCTCAGCTGTGTCGTATGAACCCCGCAGCCTTCGAGGAGGTTTCCGCAGCCCAGGCTGAGGCCGACTACCGCTCCTCCGTGGAGAGAGCCAAACTGCGACTAAGGCAGCTGCATGGGGAGGTGGCGGGGGAGCCGCTCACAAGCGCGGGGAAGCCCCGAAGCCAGTACGACAAGGCCGTGGTGATGCTGCAGGTGGGCATAGACGGATAAACGCATCTTTATGTGTATCTGTATGTATGTGTGTGTGTGTGTCGATGTGTGTGTCATGTATGTATGCGCGCATGTGCGCGTGGCGCGGTAGGGTGGGCGACTGGGAGGGTGGGCGGTGGTATCATTCTATTGGTTGTGGCGTTTCGTGATGTTGGAGTATGTGCGTTGCGATGTCTTCTCGTGGTTAGCCCCGGGGTGACGTGGCACCATCAGCAGTGCCCGCTGGCACTCGGGGCCCTAGCAGTCGCCGCCTCCGCAGGTCCAACGGCCGCCACCCACTCTAAGTTCCATCAACTAAAACCCTAAAACCCTGAGATTACCCCAATATGTTTTTTCCTTGTCTTCGTTCCCCCCGCTCAACCCACTCGGCCCCGCTGAATCCCCCTCTCCCCCATTTTTCCCTCCCTCCCCGCGCCCGCCCGCAGGCCCACCGGCCGTTCTTCCTGCCTCCCGTGATGCCCCGGGAGGTTCCGGAGCGGGCTCCTGTTCCCCCCATGTTGGGCGGGAGGGGCTCAACGCGGCCCCCCTGGGACGTGTATGCGTCCATATTTAGGGAGAGGAAGCGGGGGGATGCAAGGTGTGTGTGTGTATTGATGGGGGAGGGGAGGGGACGGGAAGGGAAAGGGAAGGGGGGAAGGGGAAGGGCAGGGCACGTGGAAGGGTGGTAGGGGGAACGGTGGGAGGAGGAAGGGGGGCAGGGGAAGGGAAGGGAGGGGGGAGGGAAAGGGGAGGGGAGATGGTGTTCTGTATCTTTGCCGGGACACAGGCAAATGTGGGTCAACGGCGTCACCTCGACGACATCCTTGTGCCTGCTCGCTCTCCTTCTGCACGCGCAGGGATGTGTACGACAACGATGCCGTATTGTCGGCGCAGTTCCAATTGGACTGGTCGCGCATCGTCACCAAGATGCTCTTCATGAAGCTCGTGGCGCGAGAAGACCTAGGGGTGGGTGTACGGCATACCGGTTTTTATCAATCGAACGTCCTGGGAACACCGTTCCACCGTTCCGTTTTACAAGTTTAGGTGGTCATGGGCGGCGACCAGCGGCTTTGGCACTTTCGGGCGGTTTTTTATGCGCCATGTTTTTATGATCTTTATGATCTCTGAAATGCTTTTGGCACTTAAAAAAATTGGGGAGGCCGTACGGGACATGGTAAAAACAATGTTGCCTGGGCTCTCCTTATTGTAGCTGTATTTGAAAAGGTTTAAGATAATAACCTTTCCTTTTTTTGTAGGGTCTAGAGCTTTCTTAATATAAACACTTGTGCGATTATCTTGTTCTTATGCTTTTTCGTGATTGTACTTCTCCGTACATTGTCGTACAGGTTCGTGGCAAGAGCGGTCGTCAGGCGCTAGAGCAGGAGCTGACTGAGGTACGGGACGCGCTGGCGGAACACTTCGCCATGATCCGCTCCGCCTTCATCTACTACTCCATTGCCACTCCGGAGGAGGTGTATACGGCAGCGCTGTCGGCGGCTGTCGCCGCCGCCGCCGCCTCCGGCGGCAGCATCGAGGCTGCCGCCGCCGAAATCGCCGCCAACTTCACGATGGCGGCGGCACGGCGCGGACCGCCGCCGCCGGCGACGACAGGTGCGGCGGCGGCTGCCGCCGCCGCCGCCGCCACCGGCGTCGGCCGTACGACGCCACCCAAAGCCACGGATATGAGCGACGGCGCTGCCGCCGCCGCGGCCGCGGCGGCGGCAGAGAAGCCGCCGTCGCTGGAGGAATCAGAACGCGCGATGACGGCGGCAGCGGCGGCCACCGCCGCCGGCGGCCCGGTCACCAGCGGGTTTGGCATTTTGGAGATGGACGAGCAGCAATGGCTGGCCTTTTGCACGTCTTCCGGTATCACGAGCCGACCCATCGGCGTCCGGGTGATGGACCTCCGAGCGCTGTTCTGGACAGTCAATCGCGAGGAGGAGAGGAACCTAACCAGTGAGAGTGTGGCCAACAACGACTACGCTCTCATGAGGTACGAAGGGTACGAAGAGACTGGGCCCCCGCATCCCAGATATGCAATATTAAATTTTTTAAAATTCATATTTGAAAATACGAATATCAAATAAAACATTAGCTTGTGGCGTGAGTGGTGCAGTTTGAGAGCAAAGCTCTCGTCGCACTTTATTCTTTACTAAGTATATTATTTTATTATTTGGAATTTTTGTTTGGGAGCTAAACATGCGTCCATTATAGTTGGATTTAAACATCGGAATTTGAATTTCGGGGAAGCCTGGAAGTTCCGGTACACGTGGACCTCGTGTTGGATTGAACGAAGAAAGCGAAGAGGAGATCAGATCTGATGCCAGGCAGATGTCTTTAACGGATGTGTATGAATTGCACGGCACATACATCACAGGAGGCCGTACAGCATGTACGACTGCTGACATGACGTGGCTACACTGACGTGTCGAGTAATGTATCCATTGCCCCCCGCTATATTAGCATTTGCTCATACGTTTTGCCATGATCGTACGGCGGTGTACGGCTTGTACGACAGGTTTGAGTTCATGGAGTCGCTGGTTCGCGCGGCGTTTGGTCGCTACATCACGACGGGCCTTATGCGGGATGCGTCTGATGCCACGAAGAGGTTACTGGAGGACTTGAGGGTGTCGCTGCCCGTTATTGCCAAGGTTGAGCCCAATGATTTCAGGTAGTGGTGGGTACAAAGGGTAACCTTCGGGTTCACCCAGAGGGTGTCGAGGTGGAATGGGAATGGGGTACGACAGATCACCGAAGATTGACCAGAAGGAGAAACCGTAGACGGATGCAAATGAGGGGATGATGAGGCTGCGGGGGGAACATAGCAGGTCGCTGGGTGGAAGGGAAGGGGGGTAGGGGGGAAATGGGGGATGTGGGGGCTTACCGTGTGTGTATGGGGGAGCTTGATGTTGGACTTCGGGGCATTTAGATATGTGATTTTTCGTTTCCGGAACGGCTTGCACACACGTGTTTTGCGTTTGTACGACGACATCCCACGTCACTAGCAACCGTTGATGAATGCCGATCACACGGACATGTAAAATGTTCTACTGACTTTTCGAAACTTTTCATCCGACACACGCGCCGACAGACGTAACCGGCTGTATACGGCAGAGATGGAAGTGGCTGTCGTACACAACCTGGAGTTGCTCACCGCATCGTTCAAGCTGTACAAGGTACGACGGATTGGAATGTACGGCGGTGTCCACTCATGAGATTCGTACATATATTGTGATCTGCATTGCAAGCCTCAAATTTAACTAGCTAGAGATGACTCCCTCCCACACGTTTGTTGATATTGCATTCGGAAATGAAACCAGTTAAGGGAACTTACCCCTTTTTACAATAAATCTTTTCCCTTATACGCAGGCTCGTGATCGCGCCAAGTACTTGAGTATCGACCACTGGATGTCTTTCTTGGAAACCAACAACTTGCTGTCGCCCCATATGGGGGGTAGGTGGGGGTGTTGAAGGGGTATAGGGGCCTGGCGGGGTGGTGGGGTGGGTGGTAGGGAAGAATAGGGGAGAGGAGGAAAGTACGAGATTTTATGGAGTGAGTGAGAACGTGTTTGCGCCTTTGGGGATGAATGTTACAGGAGAAGGACGGAGGGACAAACCGACGACCAACCAACTAACCCACCGGCGTGCCTGTTAGTCTTTACTCATTTAAAGATATCAATCCCCAGGCACCGTTGCCACCCCAACCGAAACCTTAACTGAAATTGTATAACGACCGCATTGCAGGTATTTCTCCAACCGAAGCCCGGCTTATATTCGCTTGGAGCCAGATGGTGGTGGTGGACGAGCTCAAGTTGAGACGGAGAGCCGTCAGCTTGCAGGTACGGACTTGTACGACTGTCGTACTTTTGTACTGCCTCTACCATCTCTCCCGTGTCCTCGACGCCCATTCCCGCAACTCCCAACCCGCCATCCAAACCCGCGCGCCCCCCTCCCCGCCACAAAAGGGTGGCCCCCCATGTGTTGTTTTTCTGAGAAGGGCTACCTACCCCCACATCTGTACCAACATGCAACGTTTTCTCTCCTTCTTCTTCTTCTTCTTCTTATTGTTCCTCTTCCTCTGTTTCTATCTTCACGGGGTCTTGTAACAGCTGTGGGACTTTGTGGAGGCTGTCGCGCGCCTTGCCGACCGGGTGGCTCTTCCCACCACAGAGGAGATGGACAAGTGGATGCTGTACAAGCTCAACATTGGCCGCCACACCCCCCTGCCGCCGGGGCACACGCGCGTTTGGACCTACTGCAATGCGCTGGCTACCGGTGAGGGGGAGTGTGGGAGTGTGGGTGGAGCTGAGGGGGATGAGGGGGATGAGGGGGCCTGAACCCTGTGTGGGGTGGTGGGGTGGTGGTTGGTGTGTGGGGTTGGTGTGGGTTGGGGGGTTCCCCTGGGAGCACTGGGGGTTGGGTTGCCGAGTAGTAGTGGTTGGATTCTTGCTAGTGGTGTTGGGTGGCTTTGAAAGTCGACTGAAGGCGCGCGACGTCGTGCCAGCAGACTCTGCGACAACCGCCTGGCATCCGAATCGACTTTGGGTTTCTACCGCCGGTGCTGTCTACTGCCGGTGCTGTCTACTGCCGGTGCTGTCGCTGATGAACTGGCCATGTAGCCCTAGCCCACAGCCACCTGCCGTCTCACGCCGCCTCCATACCCTCACCATCTCGTCCACCTTCGGTCCCTCCCTCCATCCTCCCTTTCCCGCTACCCCAGTGCACCCACCATCCAATACCATCCAATACCCAAACCCCGCATCGTTCCCGAACTGATACCCTCCCCCATGTCCTCCCACCTATCCCCCCCTCCCCTCCTGCCGCCCACACAGGCCGCGGTGGCCCCGGCCTGGATCGCCGCAACTCGGGCCGCGACATCCTGAGTGCGCCCACGCGCCCCCTGGCCGTCAAGTTCCGGGCGCTGACGGAGTACCTGGCGGGCTCGCTGGCGGTGGCCTGGGGGGGCAACAACACCCACGAGACGTCTCAGAGCATGATGCGGACTGCCAACATGCTGTGCGGAGGAGTAGAGCTGGCGTGATGGTCGTATGTATGTACGTATATGTGTGAGTATGTATGTATGTATGTACGTAATGTGTGTAAATGCATGTTGCGTTTCCTTTTCTTATTGTGGTTGGAGTTCGCGTGTTTAATTCCCATTATCACCATTATTGGGGGGAATGGGGGTCGTGTTTCATTCCATGGTTGGGGGTGAGAGCGAAGTGGGAAGTGGACGGGCAGGAATACGGAGTTGATACACAGCGGGGCGGTGGGGGGGAAACGGGTTCGGTTTTATCTGTTAGCCGTTCCTTCCTGGAGAAGGGAGGACGGTGCAGGAGGAGGGCGAGGAGGAGCAGATGGAGGGGGCAGGAGGGCATAGGCCGCTGTGCCGCTAATGGGGAAGGGGAAACCGCGTGTGTGTGTATGTGTGTGTGTGTGCGTGTTGGAGTGGCGGTTAACTAGCAGCGATGTTCCCGCATGGTATTGCATTGCACGTAAATGCACTTCTGAATAACCGTGTGTATATATGTAGGCAGGTGTTGTTGCGTTAACTAATAACCGCCCAACCAACTTGTACGGCAACGGATGACCCGGAGGTTGCGTGTGAATTGTATTGGATTAATGCAAGGCGTATTTTAGATCCCGTGGTTCAGTTGGTTGAGGACGGTGTACGGCATCTATTGGGCCGCCGAATATGTGCGTTTCGGGACGTACGGCATAGTGATATTATTATTAAAGTGTTATTTATGTACAAGGGAAAATATTCCTCCTCTCGGGACAGAGGAAATTGACCTGCCTGCCTGCTGTGGACCAACTTCGGATCAACAACAACAACAGCAACAACCATAAATGCATGCATGGATGTGTGGATGTCTGTCGTACTTCTATTGGCTGGCTGATTGACTCGAAATCGCCGAGGTAAGACTTATCCAGTTCGTACCTGTACGTACACAGCTGCTGCTAATAACCCAACCATATCGAGAAACGTATTGCAACGCCAAGCTGCGGTTGTTCCCCCTCCGTCCGCTACGAATGTGCGTTTGTGTGTATGTATGTATATATGTGTGGGCTAGCAGTGCGCGGCAGCGGCAGACCTTACATGACATACATACATATAAAAAAAGCCCTTTCATGGGCACAAGTACGATAGCAGGTGAAACCCATGGGACGCATGTGCCGTACAGTGCCTCTTGGCATGTGCATGGCCGCACATGATGTGCTTGTGGACCTGTGGACCTGTGACTTTCTGTGTTTTTAAAACAGATAGTGGTTCGCGTTATTGCGAATGGGGTGCGCATTTATGGTGTTACGTATTTCAGATGTAGGGTCTCCGGTGTCGCTTTGTGTCTATTTATTGTGGAGCAAGGATTTGCACGTGTGCATATGTAGGTCTGTAAATGTTGACAAAGACAACGTAGACAACAACATAGATTCGCTTTTGGTACTCTGATACAACTCCATTGGTCGTACGGCATCAGTTGAGCGAGCACGTGGGTGACATGACTGTATGACCGAGCGACCTGACGCAGAAGGCAACCGTTTACATAATAATGTGTTGTGATTATCGTGATGTGGACGAGCGAGCTGAGGGGACGTACAACGGACGTACAACGGACGTACCCACTATTGCTGGCACAGGCGCTCCCTCTGCTGGTGTGGTTGGTGCGTGACGCGCGACGACGGTGTAGCTGTTGCTACAGCTGTTGCTACTGCTGGTGCTGGTGCACGAGCATACGTCACGCCTGTTGCTTGGATTGTAAGCTTCATATTGTAAGGATTCCACCCTGATGTGATGCAGGCGCGTACGTTTGCATGTACATGAAAGCATATGATGATCAGCCGCCGCGATGCATGCATGGTGTCGCCCCACACATGTACATACATATATACATGCATACACGCACCGTGCAGGACGTGTGCGCTAGTGGTTTGAATATGTACGTGCATTGGGACAGCATTGGATGCATGGTGCTCGCAATCGGCGAGCAAGTGGCTCGTCTATCTGGCTGGAATGCTCTTGCAGCTAGATAGTTCATGGGAGGAGAGTTGAAGAAGGGGCGGACGGTTATCAGGAGAGTGAAGAAAGTTCAAAAAAACGCTAGACGAGTTGAACGAACTCAGGGCAGGAAGGGTAAAAGAAAGGGACAAGGGAGACCCAAGACCGACCAAACCGGCCGCAACTAGCGGCTTCGCCCTCTTTTTGCGAGGACGGAGCTGGCTGGTGCACGTAGGTCTACACACGAACCCATGTTTCATGCATACGAAGGTTATCTGTGTGCATAAACGTCCCGGCAGGTAACCTGACAGGGTGCAAAATGAGTACATTTGTTACAAAGGAAGTGAACTTTGGTACGGTCACAGCTCATTCGTCCTTGTTTCATTGTTTCCCTTTCAAAAATGTCGACGACAGTCATGTGCGTTCGAGCATGTGGCGTGCCGTCAATTGCTTATATTACCTGGCAGCTATCTGGGATGATGCAGCAGTATGCTTAATCTCTGGCTAAAGATTTATCAGCGCGCATGATAAATATCGAAGGATGGAGCAATGCGAGTCTCGCGACTCCGCCCCTGGAAAGGCTATATCAGGAAAGTAAATAGGAACAGTTTAAAAGGCGCAAAAGTGAACAAAGCTTACGAAAAGTTGTCAACCATTAGTTGCAGTGCATAACCTCGGTCTGTTGGAGGGTAATCAGTCTTAGCTCGTTAAGTCACGTTGGTCAAAGTTTTGCATCGACGTTCATCATCGTGGCATCGACAGCAAAAGGAGAAGTACCATAAATAGGGCATTCGTGAGATGGGTTGCACTGCACTGCATCTGCATTGATTCTCTTAATCTCTTGGAAATCTTGCCTACTTGAAAGCCGCATATCTATTTTGAGTGGACTACAGGATTCTTCCACGAGACCGTTGTTGAGCCCCACAAAGTAACAGGTAGGAATGTGACTTTATCAGAAACGCGAGGCATGCACGAAGCAGCGATTTAATCCTTGGACCGCACTACTTGCCCTTGTCAACCTGTGAGTAAATCGACCGATGCCGATTCTAGGTGATCCCTCTTAATTCCTAAACAAATCCAAATAGGGTACAGGGAAGCATAGGCCCGCCGGCAATCGCGACCATATCTGACACAACAGAACAGAACGCATGGGCTTGGGGCTTAGCTGGATGCGACACAGCGCAAAGCGACATTGCTTTCCGTGCCGCTGAGCGAGTGGTTACATCCTTGCGTCGGGTGCCACGATCGACCCACGGGTCATTAGACCCACCTACAACCCGATTTAGACAATTGCCCTCACGGCGAAGCCGCCGCGCGGATAACGGCCAAATTATAAGGGTTACCTCACAGATAGCTAAAATAACCGTCTTGCTTACGTTGGACCTGCAGCAGGGAAAGTCAGAAGTGGATGTGGAACGATAGAATCACGGAAAGCGCCGAAAGCGCTGCAGCGCCGTCCCCATGTGGACATCAACTTAAATCTTTTTGAAATGTAATAGTATTGGTGTTTTTTTCGCTTCCCTGCTCCGTACTGACAGGCAGATACACATACAGGTAGACAGGCCCGCGGCCCCCCTCCTCCAGCTTCTCTACAGTCCAGCGCGAAAGCAATGCTCCTGAAGTACGGTCGACCATGGGCCCTGGGGGCGCAGCGGCAGGACAGCAACCGCAGGCTGCTGTGGTCATCACGCACCTCCAGAAGCAACAGCCGCGGCAGCAGTAGCGGCAGCAGTAGCGGCTCGTCAAGGCGGGCTACTCCTCGCCCCTCAACGGTGGCGGTGTCAGCAGCTATGGAGATGGACTTCACCCTGTCTCGCAACGAGAGGGTGCGACGACAAGAGAATGTGGAGGGTCAGTTCTTTGTTGACCAAACCTGCATCGGTACGTGTGACCCCAGCAGCGTAGTCCCAATGGCTGCTGGATAACCAAAAATAGGGTTTCGGATGGTCCGTCGAGTTGCGAATCGAGTTAGTAAATACCCGCGCACATTCCTGAAGCTGTGCCGGCCCACATCTACATGCGACACCTCTACGGACGTAGCTATGAAGTTATTTGACAAAGATATTTGATCATATAAGATATGCATGAGGATGTTCACGCATTTTTTCTTACTTGTGACGTACACCACGTCATCCTGGCCTCTAGTCCGTACTATGCCGTACTCTCGCGTCACGTGTGCCATGACCCGAGACTGGATGGGTTCGTCCTCCACAGCCACATGTGCACACCCGCATGGGCGAGCACACAGACACGAACGAAGTATTTTCTTGCCTGCATACATATATATATTAGGCAGGTGGCTGGCAGAAGTTAAGGCCTGACTTCTGCTCCCTGAGGTTTCGGGTTCAAATTCGCTTGCCGACTCCAGGGGTGTTGCATTGAGAGGTGGCCTCCCATCTTGTGGACGGTGTTGGACGTGATTATATCAACATGCGAGCTGACCAGGAACTAAGTTGTGGCGCCGTTGATCCGCTAGATTTGATTGGATGCTGGTGGTGAGTTGCTGAACCCAACGAATACATTCTGAAGTCGGATGGGATGAATGGATTAGGGCGCCCCTCTCGAAGGGGAGAGCAGGGAACTGCCTCGGGAAAGGGGGCAGCTGGTGAAGCTATATCACCCGGTAACAATATCATACCATATCAGATACTACTGGTAAGGCACTACTTGTAAGGCACGGACCATTGCTCCTGGGAGATCCGGGGATCGAGACCCATCAGGGTCGGAAATTTTCCGATGGTGGAGGGTAATGTGCCTATAGTCGATGGACGGTGGTGACCTGGGATAAAGTGATCTTGCGAGATGACCAGGAATGAAGTTGAGCCGCCGTCGACTCGGCAGATTCCGTTGGATGCCGGTGATGGGTGCGGAACCTGCGCGATCCACTGAGAAGATGACTAGGGTGCCCCGAAATACCGGGGAAGGCAGAGTAGCGGGCCACGGGTGAAGATATGCCTCCCTGTTCCACACATCATATCTACTACTTACATACGTTCAATCTGGAATCTCAAGTCCGTATTACTGCTGTTGCTCCCGCTGCTGTTGCTGTGTCCGGCAGACTGCGATACATGTCGCTGGATGGCCCCCGCCACCTTCAGCCGCGTGGGCCGCCAGAGCGCTGTGGTGGCGCAACCCGCGGACAGGGCGGGGCGAGTGCAGGCGCTGAGGGCCCTCCTGTCGTGCCCCACGTAAGTGCGCATACTGAGGAAGTGCCGTCTTGGCGTCTGCGTGTTCACAGAGCTCTCCACCAAATAGTCATCGCCTATCCGCAAACTAACTGCTAGCGCACTTTAAACTTGCAACCAACACGAAGAGCACGTGTATGGCATGTATGGCTTACGCGCGCCTCGCCACTTGCTTTTTGTTCACCCGTCATTAAATTATGCACATTGTCGTACATGGTGACAGTTACTCGATCCACGTGACCAACCGCTCTCCGGACGAGCTCCGGGAGGCCCAGGAGGGCCTACCGGCCCGTGTGCCGGGAGTAATGGCGGTGGCGGAGGCGGAAGCTGAGAAAAGAGGCGATGGTACGGCAGCGGGTACGACAACCAGCGCGGAAGGAGTGTACTACACGGGGTGGTCGGCGGTGTCGTCCTTTGCGGGCTGCGCTTACCTCGTCGTACGGCCGGTAAGGTGGCGGCGTACAGTTAAGTCGTACGATATGCACAGGGGCTCCCTTTCCCCACCCCGGGCACAGACAGACACACAGACACACAGAGCTTCAACCTCAACCCTTTCAGCAAACGTGACTCTCGACACCTTTTCCGCTCCGCATAAACCTCCTCCCTCCCCCCTCTCTCTCTGGCAGCAGCTTCAATCGTGTGTGGTTCGTCTTTCCCCCTCTCTCCCTCTCTCGCACCAAAGGCCGGCAATATCCTCGTGGACGTCCCGCGCTACAACCCCGTGCTCGCTCGCCGTATCGAGGCGCTGGGGGGCGTCAAGTACATGTTCCTGACCCACCGCGATGACGTGGGCGGACACGAGGACTGGGCCCGGCACTTCCGCGCCACTCGCATCTTGCACGAGCTGGAGGTCAATGAGGAGCAGGCAACCGACAGTGAGTTTGACGCATAGAGAGAGGGAGGGAGGAAGACGAGACAGAGAGTTAGCAGGAGGTGTGGTCATTCAGATACGGCCATGCATTGGGCCCTCCCTTTGCCGCTCATTTTGGGCGTTGGAAGTCGGGGCCTCAATTTCCTTAACAGCCCGTCGAGAGCTTCCCCCCCTCTGCGTGCCTCATGGCCTTCCGGAGACCTACCTACTCTCCTATCTCCTATCCAAAGAGAGCCAAAAGATCAACGACCAACTGTCTCAACAACCACCTTCCGTCTGGTCGCTTGCAGAGGTGGAGGTCAAGTTGTCAGGAGAGGGGGTCTGGGTCCTGAACCGCAACGGCGACGTCGTACCCGTGCAAGTCGGAGCGGCGGCGGCAGCAGCGGGAGCAACTGGCGCCGCTGACGGCGTCGACGACGAGGCCGATGTGACGTTCATCTTCACACCGGGTCATACCGAGGGCCACGTGTGTCTGTACTACGCGCCGTACAAGGTACGAACGTCTGGACGAACCTGTTTGAGTTGCGGACATCGCAAGTACTGCTATGCAAGCTCTTCCGTAAGAAGGCGGAGGAGCCCCTCGCCCTCCGCCCCTGGCCCTCCGCCCCTGACCCTCTGTCACTCGCCCTCTGTCACTCGCCCTCTGTCACTCGCCCTCTGTCACTCGCCCTCTGTCACTCGCCCTCCGTCACTCGCCCTCCGCCCCTGGCCCTCCGCCCCTGGCCCTCCGCCCCTGGCCCTCTGTCACTCGCCCTCTGTCACTCGCCCTCTGTCACTCGCCCTCCGTCACTCGCCCTCCGTCACTCGCCCTCCGTCACTCGCCCTCCGTCACTCGCCCTCTGTCACTCGCCCTCCGTCACTCGCCCTCCGTCACTCGCCCTCCGTCACTCGCCCTCCGTCACTCGCCCTCCGTCACTCGCCCTCCGTCACTCGCCCTCCGTCACTCGCCCTCCGTCACTCGCCCTCCGTCACTCGCCCTCCGTCACTCGCCCTCCGTCACGCGCCCTCCGTCACGCGCCCTCCGTGCAGGCGCTGTTCACCGGAGACCACCTGTGTTCCGCGTCGGGTAAGGTCGACGGCGCGCCGCAGGTGAGTACAGCATCGTACAGTATCGTGCGTAGTACTACACCATATGTCGTACCACAGCCATTGATGGGCTTTGCAGTGGTGGCCGTGGTTGCGTTTTGAATTTTCCTCAAACCGTCCTGCTTTCCTCTTTCGCACTTGATGCAATTACATGTTTTCCACGCCATTCTGTACGTCAGGACGAGCTCTACATCTTCAACAAGTTCAACTGGTTTAGCGTCTCCGAGCAGCTCCGTTCCGTACACAAGCTACTGCAGTTCGACTGGCTACATGTATTGCCAGGTAAATCCCAGGCCCCCGTTTCGAGCCCCAGCAGAAAACTTTGTACCGGAGTCTAGCCACGCTGTGTTCTATACTTGCTCTGCGCGACTTGCACGGCGACTGTACGGCGACTGTACGGTGTAGTCAGGGCACGCACGGACTACCTACGACACCACACCGCAGGTCCCCGGACACGTTGACTTAACCTCTGCTAGGGCATTGCCTGTTATAATAAAACTTCATAGTCAAAAGTTCACTAACATAAAGAGCTGGAGCTTGCGCAGTGTTGTGCACCTGTGGCCGAGTGGACAAGGCGCCTCCCTGCTAAGGCGGTGGGGTTTCCCCGCGTACGTTCGAATCGCATTGGGTGCGGCATTGGGTTTTATACTAGGGTTTGGCACTACTGGTAAGGCCATTGCCCCCGGGAGATCCTGGGATCGATATCCATTTGGATCAGAAATCCGTCCGATGGTGGAAGGCATTGCACCCCTAGTTGATGGACGGTGGTGACCTGGGATAAAGTTAACCCGCGAGCCGACCAGGAATGGAGTTGGGCTGCTGTCGACCCGGCAGATTCCGCTTGGATGCTGGTGGTGGGTGCTGGTTGGTTGGATGCTGGTGGTGGTGGTGGGTGGGCTGGTGGTGGATGCTGCTGGTGGTGGGTGCGGAACCTGAGCGATCCACTGAGAAGTTGACTAGGGTGATTGGATGAGGGTGCCCCGAAATACCGGGGAAGGCAGGATTTCGCAGGGTAGCTGCCACGGGCGAAGATACACCCCCCTGTTTCACACATAAAGAAATAAAACGCTGCGTCAGGCAGCGTCAGGCGATGTGCCCTTCGGCGTGCCTTCGGCGTGCCCTCCCCTCGCCATTGCTTTGACCTCCAACAGCAGTTTGCAACTCTTTGGGGCAGTTGGGGCAGTTGTTGGTTTCCCTTCTTGACTTGGCTTCGCTTGGGGGCCCCCGGCCCATACATATACACATATACATATTGCCCTCCTACCCGGCAACCTATACCCCACTCTTCGAAACGGATATAGAACCATGATGCGCTTTTTACCTGCTCCGTGACGCCCCCGCGGCCCCTGTCGCAGCCCACGGTCGTAGGGCCCACCTGCGAGACGCCGCCGCCCGACTGGCGGCCGTCAGCAACCTTCTGTCGCGACAGGGGGATGCACTCGGCAATGGCAGCGGCGGCAGCGGCGGCGGCGGCGCTGGAGAGACGGCGAAAGGCAAAACAGCTACCCCGCCCGTCTGAGTCCGCTTCCGTGGTGACAGAGCAAGATTGCCGTACCGCCACACACGTACACCCAACTATGTGGAGAAAGCAACCCCCCGGGTTCCCCCCATGTGGCGTTTACGCACGTGTTGCAGTTGAATGCAGGGGCGGGCAGCGGGTGGTTATCCTCGGGGGTCCTGGAGCTCCCGGATTCACCTCCACACGTTGCCTAAACAGGACAGCAGGAGCAGCAGCAGCAGATGATGATGATGGTTGTGGTGATGATGGGCCGGCGGATGATGATGCACCGGTGCAGGCACGGGACCGTTCCACGATATCAGAGATGGCAGCACTAGCACCACCACCAGCACCACCAGCACCACCAGCGGTACGGCAGACGGTAGCGGCGGCCAAGCAGGCTTGTATCGTGCATGCATACACGGACATCAATCCTTCATTCTTTACTGTCGTACATGCCGTACACAGGGTTGTACAGTTGGCTATGTTGCGTGTTCGGATAGCGCACGTCACATGAAGACAAGGAATGGTTTAAGTCTGGGCTTTTTGGAGTCTTACGGTGTTACTAAAAGGGCCCAGGTCATCGAGGAGGAGGAGGAGGAGGAGGAGGGGTCATCGCTCGAACATGGGCAGGTCATGTGAGGAGACCTGGCCGTCGCGGCGCGGATACTGTCGTTGGTGATGGTGTTACGAGGGTAGCTATTTAATTATAGATTCGTTTATTGGTTATGGTAAATTATTAATAATACATCCGTTAGGTGATATGCGTTGAAGAAAAGGATTAATATGTTGAAATGTTGTTGGACAGAAGAATGCGGAGGAATGTGTACGGCTACTTTGCCATTTCGTAGGAAAATGGAAGCCTTGGTATATCGATGACCCAACGCGGCGCTATCTCGCTATCTGCTCCCCGGCTACGTAACCTGCCTGCATGGACAGAAAGCCTGTCAAATCTCCAATCAAAATACATTTTCTGTGTGTACTGCAAACCTGGTACTTCAGCAGGTACTTTTTAATGTCTAAGTTAAGTAGGTCCTAAGTATCCATCGTTCGTAAAGTTCTATTGTTCAGCCTTTGTCGCCACCAGGCAGCGCAGCACAGCGAGCACAGCGATGGCCACATTTCCACATTTCCACTTCACTTCCATACATACACCCGCCCAGTGATCCCAAATAAACAAGGGTTCGTCCATTCTTGTTTTATCAGTCCTTACCGGCTTATGCTCCCCTGCTGACTAGCGCGGCAACGCTTAGTAAGTTGCAAAGGCCCTCCTAAAAGCAAGTGGGAAAGCACGAAACCATGGGAATGGGTCTTTGGAGGAAAAATGAGGGCGGGTAGCCCCGCCAGCCAACCGCCGGGTACCTCAACACCTTATCTTTTATCATTTTTGTACTTAATTTGCCGTATTTTCTTGGGAAGTAGTTTCGTGTGGGCCTGACCTGGCATACAGCGCGCTCTAGTACAGGAATTGTATAGTGCAAACGTTTTAACCCTTAGCAAAAACGCTCAAGGATCAGAGCGGAAGCCTGCTGGCGCAGCGTGCACGTCACGGACTCTTTCCAAAGTCTGCAACAAACCTCGATCGCTTAATTTCCCTGGAAACATGAGCGAGCAAATACTTCATGCGAGAAGTTGAAACGCGCAAGCAACGGTCATATCGGTTTGCACTTGCCGTGCAGATGTACAGCAAGTTGATTGAGAAAATCCTGGAACATTTTGGTATTCCTTTACACACATTAATTGGCGATAATCATCTCAACCTGCTATGCATGTATGTGGGGAAGAAATGTTCCAAACCTTGTACGGCGTTTCGTTGGAGGTTCGCTATTGTGCCACTCCTTTTGCTGCAACCTACTACTTAATGCATTTTCCTACACATTGTAACATTTTACGTGAAGCCTGTGTCGCGTATGTAGCCGTTTTTCTACATCGTTCGGATCTTGGGTCAGACAAAAAGCTGCGATCTTGCTGACAGAAGCATGAAGTCTTGAACCGAACTTCTTAGGTCAAATCCATTTCGACTGAGGTATCATCTCTCGTTTGACAGGGCGTGGAAGCGCCCTGTCATCATTTCCTTCGTCGCCGTGTTGCGGCATCGCGTGTTGCGGCATTCACCACTGCCTCGACATTAATATTTTTAGGACAACCAACATTTGATCCGCTATAAATGCCGCTGCTTTCGCCGCATTTTGTGCCAACGAGGGCAGCCGGCAGTCGTTCATCTGCGCATCCATGGCAGCGGCGTTGCAACATTCCTGTGGTGTCCACAGCCGCTCACAGTAAGTGGAGGCTGTACACAATGCCCCCACGGGTTAGAAGCAGCTCCGATGTGTATGTGCCAAAAATAAAGCCTTTCTAATATTCATTTCGTTAGCATACTCGTAGCTAGGTTTTGATCGCGACGATTCCGCAGGAACGCACTACGAAGTCCTTGGACTGGATTACAGAGCCACTCCAGATGAGATCCGGACAGCTTTTCGGCGACTGGCAAAGGAAAAGCACCCTGATGTCTCGCAAAATGTGAGCGGCAGAAGCAACTCCCTGGGGTGGGAAATTTGTGACGGATTTGGGCTTTCTGCCTTAGATGCTCATGACAATAAATGTTCTTGAGATGGAGATGAATTTGTTTACGAGCACGGAAGCCTGCGAGCCACAGCTATTGAAGTTAACTCATAAGGGCAGGATTTCAATGCAGCCAATGACATGATGTTGCAAACCAGTATCTTTCCAGTAATCGAAGTAAAACCACTTCCGCAGGTGTCTCATACCCTTTGCCTCGTTTGTGCGTGCATAATAATCTGAGTTCGTGTTTCACCAACATATTCAAACAAATACACGCAGGATAACAGCGAAAGGGAATTTATGCGTCTGAAGCTGGCGTACGACATCCTGTCTGACTCCTCGTCACGTGCTCAGTACGACATGAATCTGAGGCAGGTACGACACTCGGGACCAAACGCTCTCTAGAAGGGTCTCTACGGAGCCCGTGCACCTCTTGTGGCAACTGGAAGAAGAACTGAACTGGCAAGGTTTCGAATTAGGATCGTGAAAAATAGTCGTGATACCGAATGAAAGTCCCTCCTGAATATTATTCACCAGGTGTGTTCAGCTCAGCTCAGCTCGGCCAACAACGGAAGTAGAACCCATAGAAAGCCTGTGCCCGTCTAGCGTGTGTTTGCCTCCGTGGAAATGTATCGAGTCCCTTGGGGTCTCCGCCCACTGCCCGCTCATTCACCCTTCCCCTAATCTCCTGCCCGCCCTCCACCTCCCCTCTTTTCGCCTTCCACGGACCGCGTGTGTGCTCATGTGTGTGTGTGTGTTCGTGTGTGTGTGTTCGTGTGTGTGTGTTCGTGTGTGTGTGTGTGTGTGTGTTTGTGTGTGTGTCTCGCCGCCGCGTTCAGCGAGCGGTGACTCCAGTGAATATTCGCCGGTCGCGACCTGGCCACGGGGCCTCGGCGGCGACGGCGGATCGTCGGTCAGATCGGCGCGGCGGTACGACCCCGCTGCGTAGCGCTGCCGTACGACGCCACCCTGATTGGAGAACTACCGCGATGGGCTCCTCGCCGCCGCCGTCCTCCGCTTCCACGTCGTCCCCTTCATCGGGCTCCACCACCGCAAGGTGATCCGGAGCTGAGGGGGTTCGCCTGCTCAAATGGATTGTGATCGGTTCTGTTCTGTTCGGTTCCGTTCTGTTCTGTTCTAATACTAAATCTATTGGTTAGTAAACTTCCGGAGCTGCGTCGGAGGCCAATGGCTGGCTGGCTGACTGGCTGGCTGGCTCTTTGCCTTGGTTTCCTGAGGCATCGGGTGATCCTTTGCGCCCCCGGGCGGTCGGTCGGGCTTTTTGTTGAACTATCTTGCGTTCCTGTTCCCCCCACCAGGCGCTGTGGCCTCTGGTCACCCCCCCTTCTTTTTTTCCTCCCCTCCCGATATCGGTAAAGCTCCGCGCTCCCAAGTCTTCGGGGACGTTTACATTACGAAAGCGATGCCGTCGTGCCGCTCAGACAACCTGCTCCAGTATTGTGTATGTGTAATTTTAGTAAACTAAAATTACAAAAAAATGCTAAAAAATGCGTAAAATAAACATAACTATTGTAATCCCCCCCTTAAAGCCCGAAGTTAAGGCCGTGTGTTTCGTGGGGTTGTGGGGCGCAGCTGTGTTTTGCCCCTAGCATTTCCCTCGGGGCCCCGCCCGCCAATATGCCCATGGGAACAACGCGGATCTAGTCCCACCATTTCCCATCACACCGCCCGACTTCTTCAGGTCCCAATCCGCGTATCCGTACAACCAGCGACAACACCAGTATTACCAGCAGCAGCAGCAGCAGCAGCAGCAGTACTCAGCTCCCGCCGGTGCGGATGATTGGACGCCGTCGAACTTGGGACGCAGCGGCGGCAGCGGCAGCGGTGCCGCCGCGGCCACCACAAGGAATACTAGCAGGTCGCCTTGGTACGACAGTACGGCGCGGGGGCGGGGTGACGATTGGGGCACGACAGCGTCACGCTCATCGAACCAACCGTCAACCGCCAGCTCACCGAACGGGGGCGATGATTGGGGAAGCTGGGCGGCTTCCGCCAGGAGTAACGCCAGCAGGCCAACAGCGGCGGCGGCGGCGGCCCCGGCGGCTCCGCCGCCGCCGCCACCGCCCTCTGGACCGGCGTCGGGGGACGATTGGACGTCTATTTATGCGCGCGTAGCGACGGGATCTTCGAATCGTGGTACGGCAGCCGCCACGTCAAGCTACGATGACTGGTCACCCGCCGGCGGCCCGTTGTCGTCGGGGGATGACCTGGAGTGGTATTCGGACGTGGTGGTGGCAACAGCGGCAGCGGCGGCGGCGCCATCAGCAGCGGCAGCTGCCAGCGCTGCTAACGGTGCTGCCGCCGCTGCCGCTGCAAAGCCCGCGTCCTTTTCCAGCGACGTAACGGCAGCTAGTACGACAGGCCAGACCCTGGCGACATCGAAGGGCGACGACTTTGATCTCTTCTCCACGGTTGCTGCTGCGGCGCCGACGGAGGCGGGCAGAGTTGCCGACACTAACACGGCCGCGGCAGCGGCGGCGTCACCTCCGTCATCGTCACCGCCGCCGCCGCCGGCAGCGCCCCCGATGGGGGATGATTTCGCGCTTTTTGCCAGCGTTGCGGCCGGTGCCACGCCAGCAGGCGGTGTCGCGGCGGCGGCGGTGACGACGACGCCGCGGCCCGCGCCGTCGGCACCACGCCGCCGTACATCCCCATCGTTCAGTGGTGCTACCTCCGTTTGGGAGAGCGTCAACAGGGGTAAGCCCTCCCCAGCGTCTCCTAATGTTGCTACAGCAGCTGCAGCGCCAGCCGCAGGTCCTGTAGAATCTGTACAGCCTGCCAACGCAGCAGCGGCGGTGGCAGCGGCGGCAGCCGTACCTGCCGTACCTAATGCGGTTACCGACGCGGGGCGACTCTCCTCTCCGGAAGCCACCACGACACCGGAGGAGGCGGGGGGAGGCGAAACTCCTTCCGGTTCCGCACGCGGCGGTGTTCCTGCGATGGCTACGAAAGATGGCCACGCCGCTGCTGCTGCAGCGTCAGAGGCGCCGGCCGCCGCAGCTCTGGCCGCAGCACAGGCAGCGGCAGCCGCTGCCGCGGCGGCGGCAGCAGCGGCGGCAGCCGCCGCTGATCCGAGCAATCTAAATGCCGCTGCAGCGGCTGCTGTCGCGGCACAGGCTGCCGCCGCGGCGGCGGCTGCAACTGCTGCTGCTGCCGCTGCAGCACATGCTACAGCCGCACCTGTCAACGAAGCTATCACTAGCAGCACCAATAGCAACGCTATTGCCATTAGAGCCGATGTGACGGAAGAACCAGGTAAACTAAGTGTCAGCGGCGGCCTGGCCGTACAGGAGAGGCCTGCACAACCGCCGACGGTGCAAGCGGCGGACCTGACGAAGGCGGCGAATGCCGCGGAAGTCAACCTGATGGGGGCGACGGAGGCGGTGGCGACGGAGGTAATGGCGACTGCACCGCCTTCCCTGACGGCCTTATCTCCGTCAGATCGCGAGGAGACTGTCGCAGTAGCAGCCACCGCCGAAGCCGCCGCCGCCATCAGTACTGTTGACGTGCTACAGTCGCACTCCTCAGTGGCTCAGGGAGCAGACCCACATGGCCTAGCGAGGCGCCTGATATCGGAGGGTCCGGACGAAACTGGCTTGGCGGACGGTTCTTTAGGTACGGCATCGCCGCCGCTGCCGACTGTTGGCGGCCCTGTGGACGCCGTTGCAGCGGCGGCGGCGGGGACCACAGTAAGCACCTCCGATCAGGAACCCGCAGCAGTCGCCGAGCCAAACGATGCCAGCCCATCGCCGCCGCTGCCGCTACCGCAATTGCACTCCGGCATTTCGTACAACCCATCCTCATTGGCGGCGGCCCTTGCGGCTGCGTCGGTTGAGCCGCCGCGGCCGGCAGGCCTCCCCTCCGCCGGCCCTGGCGACGGCGCAAGCGACAGCGACCCGGTGACGGCGCCGCTGGGCACTACAGCTGGGCCGGATTGCACCGCTGCCGCTGATGCGCCGCTACCGTCAGACCAGCCGCCGACGCCGTCGCCGACGCCGCCGCCGGATCAGGATCGGCAGCAGGCAGAGCAGGGCACTCCTGAGGAGGACTCGCAACAGGAAGAGGCACCGGCGGCGGGACTGTCATTCAGAGACGCGCTAGAGGCCAGTGAGGGCTGGCGTCGCAGCTACAGCCCCATAAAGTCTGCGGGCATTTATTTCAGTGACCAAGGCCTCGGCAGTAGCAGCACCAGCAGCGGTGGCGGCGGCGGCGGCGCCGGTAGCATCTTTGCGCAGCCAGCCAGCCAGCCAAAGAAGACCGGTGCAGGCAGCATCTTTGGCTCACCACCTCCTCCTCCACCGCCCCCTCGAACCGGCAGACAGTGAGGCCAGTGAGGCATGTGTACAACGTCCGGGAGTACGGGAAGCCGTACATCGCCTGTACGATAGGCTTATCTGCCCCGTGGAGGAGGATATTCTGAGAGGCTTATATTTTAGATTTCGAACTTCGTGACGTAATGGACAGACAGGATGTAAGCAGCAGTGATGAGAGTTGGAGAAACTGGAGCGTCGACAGGCACTACCCGAGTATCTTAATTTACATGCCCTTTTATATTTGAAGCGGAGTTATCAGGTACCTTTCGTCCAATCCAGAAAATTTGTCATAATATTTCGAGGTGGCTGTGAGCTTCTAGTTGTTCATACATATGGCGTCGCCTTACGTAGTCGTACACCGTACACCTTTGTACGGCTCCATTCATGAGAGCAGCGACCATGTCGTCTGGGGAAGAAGGCGTTGTTGATATTTTTTATGCACAGTCCTAAAAATATGTCGCGCAGGAATATGATGACAAATGCGGCCTTAATCAGGCGAGTTAATCCAACAATCTAATTTTATGTGAGCTCTCCGTCAGACAGAAAGAAGTATCCCGCACCAGCCAGTGGGGCCCGGGGAGATCAAGCAAGAGGAAGAACGATACGTCAGCAAGGAACCATGTTTCAATGTTAAGTGTGCATTTGACTGCTAAATCAGCTTGTCGCGAATGACCATGTCAGGCTCGAAAGATAATGATAACGTTTGTACGGATGATTATACTGGAAGTGGTAGTGTTGCTGGTTTTCAGATCCCTCCCGTGGAAGTGGCGCTATGTGGCGTTGTACACCTGCTGTAAATGCTGCCGTACTGTGCCGTATCGGCAGGTTTGCACAAGGACAGCACAATGGGTGGTGCAATTGGAGAGGAAATTTCGATGTGGAAATTGTTGAGACATGAAGAATATTTCAGGATTGAGGTATGCGGATTAGGGCCAGGGATGGCAGGCTGGGAGACGCGAGCTCTTGTGCCGCTAACCCCCGTACGCTGACCGTACACACTGCGCCGGCGGCGGTTGTGGAGTCAGCAGGGCTACCAGCAAGTTGTGGGACGGGGGCCGTCAACCGTTTTGTCACGGCAATCCTAGAGGCAATGACTGCGGCGCTGGAGGTGGTGCGCTGCTACTGCTGCTACTGCAGCAACCATCCACGGCTTATATGGGCCTCCCGACCTCTTTAACGTGCGTGACCCTCGCACAGCCGCAATCCCCTTTCCCCCAACCCTATCCAACCCGTCAAGTGCAGCAGAAGTTGCGAAACTCCGCACCACTTAAACCGCTGTGCGGCTTATACACGCCTTGAACGCTGTCCGCGGGTTTCCACGTGCGCCTTGTATATCCCTATTGGCATAAAAGGGCCATCAGTAACCGACCCCGGTTAGCTACAACCCAACCGGTCGCTTCGGTACGGTAACCGACATTTAACCGACATAACGATCCTTTAATCAACTGGTAACCTTACCGGTCAGTTACCAACCGGTAGCCTTATGGGTCGGTGACCCAACCTGTTACTGGGTCGTTAGCTCGTTATGTGTCGGTTACCCCTAACGGCCAGGTACCGAAGCGACCAGTTACCGACTACCGGTTTGGTAGGGCTACCAACGGCTGGTGACAAGCAAGGAAATAATCCGAATGATCTCCATAAAATAAAGGCACTAGGCTACAAGTTACAAGTTCCGCACAAGTGCGGGGGTGTCCGTAAAAGCCGGGGGGGGGCCATGGACGGTAAATCATTTCTAGTGCGGTTATGTGGTGGACCATCATCGTCCTCCCTCGTCCGCTTGAGCATGAAGTGCCTTAGAGCAACGTGCCGGGTCTCCCAGACTTCCGAGAGGAACCTGGCTAGCGCCAGGGGTGGGGCCTCGGTCATAATCGTGCACATGCACTCTGGCTGTAGTAGCTGGTGCACAGTACGACACACATAACATCTACAAATACGCGCTAAGCGCTCCACCAGCATCTCGAGAGGAATTTACAGCGGGGCTAGCTCCTACACTAGGCGACAAATGCAGAGGAGCAACTGCCTCCCAGCAGCCATCGACCAGCAGCTTGTCGCCTGGTTGCAGCGGCACACATGGCAGCCGATTGGCTTGCGCCCTGGAGGTCTGTGTGTGTGTGTGGTAGGGGATGAGGGGGAGGGGGAGGCCGCGGGACAACCCCCCGGGAAGAGGGGCATGGATTCATGGGGATGAATGGCTGATGGCAAAGATATGATAACTCGGAAAAGGAAAAGGATTAGCTCTGGGAAACTCCCCTTTGGGGCCCTGCACCCCGCGCTGGATGAAACGGATTCAACAGATTTAGTTAAGCAGCTGGAAGACTTCATACTTCGTGACTTGTTGTCGCACCACGCACATCGTATAGTTCTCGGATTCATTGCCGTACCAAGGACAATCATTGCTCCAGCTCGTACCTGATATAAAGGCGGGAACACTGAGAATGTGTGTTGTGCGGCCGAGGTGGCCTCAGGTGTAGGGTATTCGTTGTTACATAAACTTTGCGTTTTACGAGGTGAGGACAAACGATTGGGGCATCGCGGCGCTCAGTAGCCATGTCGCCTTCTTGGGTTTGCTGCTTGGAGCTGGTCCTCCTCTGGCTTGCATAGCTGTTCGGTTGAGATTGTGTCCTTGAGCAGTTTTTGTATGCATGTGCATCCGGGCAGTCCAGATTCCCACCATCTGCACCGGGGCTGGTGTTGCCCGGTGATGTTGGCCGATGTGGGCGATGAAGGCTTGTCGGGGGCCCCAAGGCGGCGAGGCAACCGGCGGGGTTTCCTATGTTCTTCCCGTGGTATCCCTTTGGAAAAAGGGATACCACTTGCAACATAGGTCCGTGATCGAGGTCCATAACCAGTACCCGGCAAACGCACTGGAGGTTGCCGTACGTATTGAAATTCTCCAATTGTTCACCAAACACTTCCGGCAAGCTGTGTATTCTTCTTGTTTATGAAAGCTACACAATGTGCCAAAGTAGTAGAAGGGCTGTTTAGGGCTATATTTCACGCGGCAACTGTAGGCTACCTTAGGGAGCGTTGCTGCTCACATAACCTGCATTTGTGGTGTTTGTGAATTGCTGCTGCTTACTTCAAACTTTTCAGAGTATTACCTCTGAAGTTTTCTCACTCTTGGCATATTTGTTTTTGGCTGTCGAGCTTGGGCTCTAGTTCTCAACTTCACGACGGTACTCGCTCGCTGTCTTTTGTTAACGAAAGTGGACGCATTTCACTATAAATGGCGACACTTGATATGAGTAGCTCGCCGCAAATGCAAGTAGTTTCTTCTCAGGGCTTTTTTGGGAGGTGGCTTCAGGCCCGCAGAGCAGCAGCTGCAATACGGGTAAATTGTTTTAGTGTTTCAGTCTTGATTTGTTGGTTGCCCATCTCCAAGGCCAATCGAAGGAATGCCATATTTTCAGGGTGAACAGCTGTACGCGACAACGCTATCAGACTCTGCGACATATGACTTCAGCGACTTAGACCGTCTAGAGTTCCTGCAGTTGTCCGTGCGCGACAAGGAGGGCCGGCAACTGGTGGTAGTGATGGCACGGAACTACCCTGCCAAAGTCCTCGACCCCGAGCGAGTATACAGGTTTGTTAGTCCAACCATTCCAATGTTGCAGCCTGCTTTGCTTCCCTCAACCTCTGAGCGCTACATCATAATATAATATTTGAGGTGGTGCCTCTCGTGCCTGCCTGCCATAAAGTACACATCTCTTGCCAGCACGTTTTTGCCATCACGATTAGGAAGGACACGCGTTATGCCGTCATCCCTATCGTGATCAGCCCTAATGGCATAAACGTCATCCCGTACGCAGGCATCGCGCCAACTCCCATGATTTCTGTTGCCGCCACAGAAACGCACAACACGCCCTCACGCCCCCCAGGTACCTCATCACGCGTCTTGACCGGATCGTGGAGGGGCCGTACAGCGTTGTGTGGTTTCACACTGGCAGCACCTACTGGCAAAACTCCCCAGGCCTCAGCTGGCTGTGGCGGACGTACGAAAGGTGCGGCCGCCGTCCTAAATAGTAAAATCAAGAAATTTGCTAATAAGGACGATAAAAACCCTTGGGACCCTGTGGACTGTAATATAGTCCACATAAACAATTTAGAGACAATCAAGGTTATAAGCTTCGCAAATTCTCCGGGTTCTGCAAGTCTTCAATCGTCTACCTAATGCTTGGTCAAGTATTTTTTATTACTGCTGCATGGCTTGAAGAAGGAGAGGAAGAAAATAGCTAGCAGCAGGTTGCATTTCCCCGTCCCGATCCCATCTACGTTCTCCACACGCCTACCCGCAGAAGGGCAGGAGGGCGGAGAGCACGTGTGTAGGATGTGATCATCTTGAGCGATGCTGCCCCGCATGCTCTAGCACAACGCTTACCACCAACACTAACACCCACTGGCTCGCGCCATTATAATTTATGAAAGCAAACGCACGACGATCCCCATCTGTCCTATCATACTGCACCCAGGCATACCATGCAACCACACGCACCACCATTCTCCATCACTTAAAACCATTGCAACCAAGGAAATTGTAGCAGCAATAAAAGCCGCAGCAGTAGCTCAATAAGAAGAGGGTCAACAACACTTTCACCGCCGCCCCCTCGCCACCCGTCATCACCGCCCCCTCTCAGGCTACCCATGAAGTACAAAGCCAACCTGCACCGTGTCTACGTTGTCCATTGCGACTTGCCCATGTGGGTTGGACTGGCGGCGCTGGGGCCGCTGCTCAGTGAGGCCTTATGGCGCAAAGTGGAGTGGGTTTCACGAGTGGAGTTCCTCTGGGACCACGTGCCCAAGGTTTGTACGTAGGGAAACGTAGCTTCCAGGGAAGGATCTTGCAAAGGAGGCCTCGAAGGCGAAGCCGATGAAGGGAATTCCAGGTTGTGTAAACCAAATCCTATGACGTTCCTGGCTGTGCCCAAACCTTAACACTTGCCCAAACCAAACTTTTCTGGTCCCATCCATGGTCCTAGCCCTGCGCCCCCACACCCTCCCCGGGCCCTTTGGACACCCGCAGTCCATTTCTGATTCCCCCTTGCATACGACTCCTCAATCCCGCCGCTTTGGACTCCGGTAGCTGGCAGGTAGCTGCTTGTATCGTACGACTGCTCCCCTCCCTGGCCCCTGGTCCGCAGAAGCAGTTGGTGATTCCGGATTTTGTGGCCGAGCATGACGCTCTCCTGGAGGACCAGCCGCTGATGGACTACGGGGTTGTGGCGACAAAGGAGGTCAACAGCGTGCCGGGGCTACCGGGGCCCGTGTGAGGGTCGTGGCTGGCATGGCACCAGAGCCCGCCCGCCGGCAGGTTTGGGATCCCGCCGTGTATCGCTTCCATCCCGAAGGGGGGCACGCTTGGTGGCCGTAAACGAACTATCATCGCTCCGTGCAGATGGTTGGGAACAGGGGGCATGTAAACCGCCCTTGTTGCCCTCTTGCGTGATCCGGCATCATCAAAAGGGTGTGTATATATGTGGTCATGAGCACCATGGACTGGGTATGAGATGGGAGCATGCAAGCGACAAGGAGAGTGAGGAGTGGCATGAGCGAGTTGACCTGCTTGTTTCGTGAGCCGGAGCGTCGTGCGCGTGTGGGGAGCTGTGATGCGGCCCAGGACTCCCTACATACAGTGCATGGGCCAACCAGTGTTGCACGGGGCACTGACTGCAGTGGATGGAGCTGGTGCTGCGTATCCTCTTCGGGAGGTCTACTGGACAGACGTAGGCTTAGTTCCTAGCGTGCAGGTAGCTAGCATGGCATGACATGTTTGCAGTATAGAGGCTGAGCAGCTTGACAGAACATGCAGCGGCCGCTCGGAATAGGTGTGGGGGCTGCGAGGTGCGGCATGGCAGGCGTGGGCGTTTGGTTGTTTGCGAGGAAGTATCTGGGTTGGGATGGGACGGGAAGTGGCATGGTAAGGTAGCTATGCAGCTTTCCTGCTTTGTACGAGGTAGGTTTGCTACGCCATTTTGCTATGTGAATTCTTGTCCTGCACAGCGGTTTGCGCAGGATATGCTGGTGACCGGGTATTCGCTGACAAGAGTAGATGGGATCTTAATAAATAGTCTCCCAGTACAAAGTTCCCACTTTTGGTTTGACGTGGCATCCATCCGCGGATACACGTCTTACTGTTGCCTGCCTTAGCCTGATCTTTTTTGCCGTGCATTACCACACTCGCGAGAACCCTAAAGAAGGAAGCAACTTAATATTTAAAAGTAAAACACTGCATGGTACGTATGCGGCGCATGATGTGACTTGGGAAAGCTGTAGTTACACTTGCCCCGGTTGCGCCTGTACCGTGGGTGAAATCCATGATGCGCGTGAGCTTATCTGCGTTTGTGCTTGAAGGGAACATCACGTGTGTGAACATGCATGAATGTTTGTGCGTTACAGCGCTTTCGGGGATCAACAGCAGGAGGCGGAGGAGCTCTCGTTAGGCTATCCAGTCAGACCTTGGGCAGTCTACGGAAATATGCACCAGGGAATTACAGTGCAGTACATGCTCTGCCTGACATGACACGTGCACAACCAGAGACCGGACAATTTCATATTGAAAGAGACAGGTGGGGGGCGGTGGTGTGTGCAAGGAGTTCTGACTATTGAATCAGAAGCTGTAAGCACTTCTGCCTCATCATCGTACCAACGATTGTTACAACGTCGCAGTGAACATGCGCAAGAGACATGTTCCCACAATTCGAATATGCACAACACGCGTATCCTCCTTCATCATTCAGCAAGTGGTAAAGATTAAGTAACCGAAGGATAAGGCCCAGGGGCTGAAATTCGGCACACCCAAGAGGCCTGAAGAGTCCTTTAAAAGTAAAACATTATCTGGGTCAACCAGCAAAAATGTCATGGCAAGTTCGTTGCCATGGCAATGAAGCATTCGCCCCCCCATCAATGAAGAAGCACACCCGTGTTAGTGTGTTCCTTCAAGGCTCCCTGTCGCCACACCCGACACACGGGTACACGGCACGAACCCATGCACGGCCCTCCCCCCCCTGTACTGCATTCCCACCCGAAAAGGTTAATGCGTCTTGTCCGAGTATAACACACAGCGTGCTAAGAAAGCCCTACCATAGCCCCCCAGCGCTCTGCTTATGCGCGTGAGAGGTAGGCGCCCGTCCGCGTGTCAATCTTGATGACCTCGCCCACCTCAATGAATAGCGGGACAGACACAACTGCGCCGGTTTCGAGGGTCGCTGGCTTGCTCCCCCCCGAGGCCGTATTGCCCTTGACGTTCGGTGAGGTCTCCACCACTTTAAGGTCCATGAACTGCGGCACGTCCACGCTGATCACCTTGCCGTTGTAGAACAGCAGCTCCACGGTTGTCCCCTCCTTAAGGTACTGCGCCCACTCATCCTTCTTCAGGCGCGTCTCCTCGTAAGTCTCAGTGTCCATGAAGACATAAGTATCTCCCTCTAAGTAAGTGAATTGACCGTCACGCTTCTGGATATCCGCGGTGTTCAACATTTCGCCGGCGCGGAAGGTCTTCTCAACCACACCGCCCGTCAGGAAGTTCTTCAACTTTGAGCGCACGAAGGCCGCACCCTTGCCGGGCTTGACGTGCAGAAATTCAATGACCTTGTAAGGCTGGGTGTCTATCTCCACTGTCAGTCCATTCTTAAAGTCATTCGTGGATACCGTGCCAGCGAACACAACCAAACGCGATGCACGAGGGCGAATCGCTGGCCGTGGAGCGGAGCCGGCCTTGAAGGCTGCCACCCTAGCTGCGTTTGCCTGGCGAAGGCACTGCATTGTGGTCTGCAGCGAAGTTCGTGGCGGCTACGATCCCTTATTGGACGTTATTGCACCAATTTTCCCGGAGTGCATAACAACACGGCCGCCGAAGTACAGTCAACAATGCTTGCTGTATGCGATCATCTCTCGTCACCTTGTGGGGATGGACCCATCCCGTACGATAATTACGGACCAAACTCCAAAACGCCTTCGTTTCCAATTATTCTGATGGTTCGTATCTCTGATTACGAATATAGATGAATTGTTGCGTTTTGTTACGCCCCAAAGGGCAAACTCAGCGGTTTGATTTCCACCAACTGAACAAAGGGCGTCCACAGGAACGTTAGTGGTGTTGGATGGACGACTTGAAGTCTATCATAGACTAGAATAATGTAGGTATAGGTGCTGTTGGTGGATAAAAAATGTCAGGCGACAATTTACCGTGTCCTACATATGCGGGAGGGAGTGTCTTCCTAAATGGCTTCTCCGATGGGCCTAAGCCTTATGAAGAAGTCCTAACTTTCTTGCGGAAGGTACTGTTGCAAGCCTTGCTTAAGTGACCGGCCAGCTGCATTATAACTTGCCAGGTGATTGATCTGCGTCATTGAATGTATAACATATGTAGGGCTCGGAGATGATCAAATATGGGCGCATGGGCGCCCCGAAATCGCATCCCTTCCGGCTATCGCATGAGATGATGGAGCTACAATGGGAGTCCAAGAAGGTAATTTTACCTTGAAGTGTCTTAAACGAACTTAAAATCAGCTTGGAAAGGTGTGGTGTTGGGCATGTGGAACCTGCTGGTATGGACAGATATACACGGCGTGTATGGCCACGCAATAGCGAAGCATATGTAGCCATTTCAAGCACATCTGCAAGGAGATATTACGTGTGTTCTGGTATTATCACCTTATCCGTATTTTCGAAACCTGTGGACCTGCGGGTCCGTTCTTTCATCGGACTCCCTATCTGGTGGTTAAGCCCTACAATTAAAATATTGTCGGGACGTGGGTGGAGATTGTAGCTATTTCTGAAGCCTTACTCCCTTACTCCTTCCCTCTTGATGCTTACCCGAGCGCTATCCACACCCTGGTGTCCTGGCCAAACGTGCCCTGACTTTGTCTTGGCCAATGCTATCCCCGTTGCTGTCCAAGCTCAAGCTGCTGGCCAGGATGCTGGCTTGGCTCACAGTTTCCGTCTACCCTACATGCATGTCGTCATGTCGTTTGCGGTTTTGCAGGGTCAAGTACGGCGCATACCCCTTGGCTGCATCGTTGATGTTAAACCGGGTCAGAAGACCTCCGTATTCCGGAAATACCCGCAGCCTGGCGCAGAGGACTTATCATTTTCTATCTACTATTCGGACGAGTACGTTCCTAGCCCGGGCGGTCTACCGGAAAACCCATGCGTGCAGAGGCTACGGGGTCCAGGCTGCTCGGAAAGGCTTTGATGCACGGGGTTCAAGGGAGGATCCAGGACATGCGGTGTGGGCGTTGCGTGTCTCCCTAAAGCAAAGGACAATTCTCACATGGCTTGCATGGCCATGGAGCAGAGCATGGGTGTGTTACACAGATCTACTTCCATGGGCTTACCGCGCATGGCTCTCTCTCTCTCGACCCCTCCAGGTTGCACTGGCAACCTAGGAGCACATGGCTCGCGTCCTTCCCCTGGCTCGCTCATGCAGGCACAAACGCCCCCGCACGCTGGACGTCATCTGCCGCACTAAACAGGAATTTGAGATGTGGTTTTGGGGCGTGCAGATAATCCAGCACTACCCGCCCAGCACATTCTACTCGACTCCCCCAGCACAGGGATTGCCCATCCAGAGGGCTGCGACAATCTCTAGCACCTCCAGCGCACCCGTGGTTACCCAGGTAGGTTTGAGGAGGATACCAGGACAACAGTTAGCCTGCGAAGGAGCGGCTGATGAGGCTAAGGGGTCATGAGCGGGCTACCCAAGGGATGACACGTGGACGGGGTCCAGGCTGGAAGAAAGGGAGTAAGAAAGCAAGGGCGGGGGGAAATGGCCTGGAGGAGTTACAGGGCGGGGCCAATCATATACAAGGTGGTATATGTATGTGGGTTGTATTGTCAGGGCTAAGCGAAGAAACGATGGCCTGAGGGGCGCATGCAGGCACATGCAACATGGCATGCAGATCGGCCGTCTGTTAGTGCGGTGTGCTTGCTGGGCAGCCGCGGCGTGTCAGGCCGGGATGGGTGCGGACTGTAAAGGGAGTGTGGCTCTGGTCAAGCCTAGAGGGCACCTGGCACTGGTGTTGGTTGCTGGGTGGATTACATTACTTTCAGACATGTAAGAAGTGCCACCTTGCTGAGGCGTGTTTTGAGGCGGTCTTTCATGCGGATGCATGCAGCAGCGAGCAACTCCGCAGCCCCCTGCGCCAAGTCATGCTCCCCCGACCGCCCGGTTGGCGGTCTCGGTAGATGACCGGCGGTTCAAGCCGCAGCCGAAGATAAGGCCCATGGTTGGTAAGTGGCGAGGGCGTGTGCATCTTGAGGCGCTTATGGGTGGCAGCTAAACTTACTGCAATAAATTTTAATAATGATGGATTAAATATCTACACTAATTTAGCAACAGCTTACAGTGTGTGAAAGGCAAATTAGACCACGCTACGCATTTTTGCAGATTGGAATGTTTCGCGGGATGCGCACAGTGCTACTTTCCTGACTCCTTGCACTGGTCCCAAAAGTAATCAGTCAGCATCATCAGCATTCTTGACTGACTGGGTATGTCGGTATGTGTGTGTTCAAATCGAACGGAGCCGCATGAAGAAGATAATTGAAGCAGGGGAAGCTGACAATAGGAGCCATTTTCGGTCCCTCTGGCTTTGGGTTTTATGTGCCCAGCTTTCTTCGTCATCGAATTACAGTTTGTCGACGCGCTGGCACGGCCCAGGCGCGCACAGGTTTTTGTGTTTTTATCTCTCCCGCCATCGCCAAGTGCCCACCGGCGCGCTATTCCCTGTCTTGACAATCAATCCCGACTTCCATGTATGTGCATATGCGTTGTAGGTCTTGACTTTATGAAGAGCATGCGGAGCAGCGGGGCCTCCGCAGGTGTTTTGCAAACGGAGACGCGGGCGCAAATGGGTGACCTGTACGCCTGGGGCAGCCTGATCATGACGGATACCGAGGAGTCTGCCGCCAACGCCGGGAACGTAAGGGCCTAGGAGCGCTTTGGATTGCATGCGCAGAGAGAGAACGGATTGCATGATGACTGGACACGCCTGGCCTTCCACGTAGTATTGCCACATTGGAATTCCTGCGATATTGTGTTGAGGAGTCAGCAAAAGGATGCGTTGGGGAAAGACGAACCACGAACGAATGAAGCTGTGGGGGGGGCCCGAGAGAATACAGGGGTGGCCATGTTTCGCCACGATGCAAACCAGACTTAGAAAATATGCGCGAGACTAGACCCGTTTCCGGACTAAAACGTTATATATAACAAGCACAGTTGACGGAGGAGGAGCAGCCCAAAGTGAAGAGACCCAAAAAAGGAAAAAGATTGTATGGGTGTTGGTCCAGTGTCCAGAGAGAGTTAGTTTACCAATGGGAGCTGGCTTAGCTGCGGAAATCTTTTACCTCTGTCTGGGCTGAGCCTTTGGCGCCTCTGCGGTGGGTGGGGATGTGTAACATTGCATGAGTGACGCCATGCATCGTGACAGAACGCATGAACGTGTGTCGTGCGGCACACTGCGTCGTGGCAGCACCGCGGCCACACACAATATGCGCAGCCACTTAGCCCGCGCGCCCCATCTTGATGCGAGGGCTTAACTCAGGACTGTGGATGCTGCCGAGCGGCATCCCTTAATGTTTCCGCTATATCCCCCTACCTTTTCGCCTAATTCCTTATATTTTCCCCTGTCTCTCCCCGATTCGGTGCGAATATCGTCCCGCTTCACTCTAACTCAACCACTGGTCTTCACCGCTACTTGCTTTGTTGTGGTCCGCCCTTCAGCCATCCGGGAGTCATGAGTCCTTGCGCTCCATGATGCACAGCAAGGGGCCCATGCTGGTTGGCGAAGCCATCAGTGTGGATGTCTCTCGGGTGGCGTGTGCGCCCCGTCACGCGGCGTTGATCACGCGTAATGGAGAGCTTTACACTTGGGGCGTCGGCAAAGGTGCGTTGAGTATCAGGGAAAGTCAAACCTGGTGATTTAGGACGTGGAGGAACGCTTTGGACTGTTGGTGTTAGGTGGGTTTTAGGACCGTTGAAACCAAGGTACTCGCTGAGGCGGGTGGTTGGTATAACCCTATATATAGCAGCTTTTGATGGCGTATGGTGGCAGACGTAGCGTGCGGTGGCTAGTAGTCCTCATAATATTTGAATGAGAGTCTTGGCAGATGCGGAATGCGCGGATGGAGGGTCCGCCAGGTTCCGCCTGGGTCCTTGCTTGTGTTTCCTGTGTATTGCTCTGTTACTCATGCCTTTCCATGCACATCTGCTTCTCTCCCATGTTCGTGCTCTGTATCCTTGGGGCAGACGGCAACTTGGGCCACGGCTGGTGCGGCGATGTGCCCAAGCCACGCCTTCTGACGCGCATGGGTGGTAGGGGCGTTCGCGCTGTGGCGTGCGGGGAAGGCGCCTCTGCTGCCATCTCGGCGGAACAGCGATTGTTCATGTGGGGCAAGGGTATCGCGGGGCAGCTGGGCAATGGCTATGCCTTTCCATGCGCGGAGCCCGCGCCGGTAATCTTCCCGGGGCTCCGGGACGACGTTAAGGTGCGGATATATGAATGTGAAAATTGTGAAAAGAAAGGGCGGAGGTGAAGTCGCATATCACGGGTAATCCGCAGATTACCTGCGGCTAAGAGGCAGAGGCCTCTTTGCCCCTGCGATCCTGGCAATGGGGGGGGGGAGAAATAGTTTACCGACGGGGTGTGTACGTGCCCTGTGAAGAGTGTCCGATTTCGGCCTGATTGCAATGCAAAAATAGGTGTGGACTAAGTCAGTGTCGAACCCTGGTGTGGAGGGAGAGACGGCACAAGGGTTACATTTTTCGGGTTGCAGCTTGGCGTGAGCGCGGTGGATACGCTGGCCGCCCGAAACCCTCCTTTCATGACGCCTGTTGCGTTTGCTTCCGATTGGCCCCTGCAGGTGCTGGCGGTCTCCTGCGGGCCCTACCACACGGCGGCGATCACGGAGGGCGGTCTGCTGTACACCTGGGGCAACGGGCTGTTCGGAAGGCTCGGGCACGGGACACAGCGCGACGAGTACCGGCCGCGCAGGTGTGCAGGCAGCTTTCCGGTTTTCACTTCCTCTGCGGGAGTGGTCCTTGGGTGTCTTGACCAATATGCTGCCGAAGGATCTGTTCAGGTGGTAGTTCGCCCGGGTACCAGACCGCACAATTCTGTGGGTTTGATTAAAGAAGAAGCGATGACACGTGAATGACACACAGCACCTGCACCTGCCGCGTTGTACCTGCTGCAGTGACTGATGTGCGTGTCTGCGTACCATCATCAGCATCAGCATTCGTGGACAGCCTCGACTTTGCCACGCGTGATTACGTCACACCCATCATGCCCTGGCTTAATGTATTTGTGTGTTCTTTACCGCAATAGTTAGATGGGAGAAAATCAAGCATTCTTACACGCGACGCGAATGTGGGGAGCCTCTCGCAGGGTGATGGAGTTGGAGGACAAGTACGTCATCAATGTCAGCTGTGGGTATTGGCACACGGCAGCTGTTGCGAGGCCGCGGAGCGGCGGCCGCAGGCGAGTTTGCTTGGTTGGTTGATTGGGTTTTCAAGTGTAAATGTGATGTGGCGGCCCTCTGTACAGTACAGAGATGTTGCAAAAATAAGGCATAACCCTTTAGGACCTACGGCAAGTTGACCATGGGTTTAGGCCGTTACAGAGACGCTATTGTGGTGGCAGCGGATATACGCCGCTCGTTACTCGGCTTGTTTTAGTTTTATCCTGGCGCATTATCCTGAAAGCTTGGCGTGACAGACGGATCCACGGCACCCTGTGGTCGCCTTACCGCCCAGCTCTCATTGCAAAAGGTTCTGCTATGGGCCTGCTTGTTCTCTTCGCATTGTGGCGCTCTTTACAACAACAATGCCCTGTTGGGGATGGCTCGATCTGCCCTGCATGACTAACCCGTGCTCGGCCATTTTAACGAGGTGATTCCAATACGTCTTCTCCTTGGCCATATTGCCCTGTTTTGTTGATTTTGCAGTCGAGCGCCATCTCTAACCCCCAGCATGGACTTTACCACGCCTGCCAGTACGCCCAGCGGTCGCACGCAGCCGCAATTGTCGCTGCCCGCAGCTTCCAGCGCGCCAAACATATCTGCGCAAGGGGACGGCGGTGAAGAGGTTGGTCGCTGTAGTGACCTAACGCTGCGTGCACGTTCGCGGACGGCGGACATGAGCAGCAGCGGCAGCGACTTGCAGGTGGGGGGGCCTGGGACGGAGGTACGACGCAAGGCCGTTGCGCCGCATGGATAGTTATAGGAGGCGCGGCGATGCTTAGTTGCCCGTGTTGATCGACTTTCCGGGAACTGCAGCCATTATGTTTGACTTGACGCGTTCCCCTACTTTAACAACCGGCTTCCTGAGCCGGAGGAAATGTAAGATCAGTCCGTGATTTAGTAAAAGCGGTGATGTGCAACCAGCGCACATCTACACGCAGCTATGCATACCCCTATTCCGCTCTGCGGCTCACGCGCCGTGTGGCTCTTTATTCCAAGAGCTTGTCGATTTTTAATCCATACTCGTAGTTTTCGTGAGAAGTCTTCGTTACAACACACCTGCAAGCAATGAAAACAGTCTTCGTGATGGGGTAGGGCCGGGTGTGGGTGCACTACCCCGAAGCGAGGACTAGGCCTGCAGACCAACCTACGCTTCAGGGCAGCACCCAAACGTAGCTACACAAACCCGAACTAACAAGCACAGTCGCTTGCAGTGACACATAATTACGTCCCTAGGTCCGTACATCGTACAGTGGCACTCCGAATCCACAGAAAGCCTTAGTTTTCTAGATGCTTCGCTTAGAAAACTATCAGTTTCCTAAGGAACAGTTTACTGTTGGATTTATTACTTTGGAATCTTTATTGGCTGTCTGTGACGTGACGTGGCAGGGGGCCGTATCTGCGGTTGCGTCAAGCATGGGCCCAACACGAGGGTACATCCGCGGCAGCTATGGCGGCGGCAGCGAGCCTTCTGGGGCACATGCGGGGCCTTCCGCCGGCGGCGGGCGAGACGAGGAGCTCAGCTGCAGTGCGGCTTCGTGTGACAAACTTCCGGAAGGGCCGTCTGAAGACCCCGTGGATTCGCCCCCAGGTAGCCCCAGGGGGAGTTATCAGCTCGTCGTGTGCAGCAGGGCATAAAGATATAGTAGGACGGCACGGTGCATGGCATACTTGAGATGAGTTGCGCGGGGGCAGTTTGCCTTGGGCACCTGGGTTTTGGGCACCTGCTAGACCGTACGACACTGCTGGATCAGCGCAAGCGGAATGTTCTTGCGCTACGCTGCCCGTAATGGTATAGGTGGTAAGGAAAGGGCCAGGAAAGGGGGGCCTCCTTGGCCTTGATCTACATCAAATGTAAAGGCGTTCGCAAATGGGATTTCGGAATACTGCCACGCGCCGTGCGCCATGCTATGCCGGTGGACTCCAGGGCTGTTACCGCTTCTGGCACCTTCGACAGTGCCATTCCCGCGGGGGGGGTAACCGGAAACGTTATGATTTTACGGCCGTGGAACCAAGCAAAGCCAGTGGTCGACAATAACGGTACGGGTACGGGCTTGATGTTGAGTGTTCGACACGGCACTGATGGCACTGATGGTTTTCCTTCCTCTGCGGTCTGGCGCCTTGCATGTCCAGCCGGGATGCTGTACACGTGGGGCTGCGAGTTTTCATGGATGGAGGGTGGCAAGCGTGACAAGCACTACGGCTGTCTGGGTTTGGGTGATGACACGGAAGGCCGGCTGGTGCCCACACGCGTGCAAGGCGACATGGACAAGCACGGCGTCTTACAGGTATGTGGGTTAGCGAGGATCTACGGACTATTGGCCAGAGAAAGAACTACCGTCTAATGTCCTGAGGGCTCCTTTATCTCCTCTGCCGCAGCTTGCTGCCTAGCCGTGCTGCGCAGTTTCCTACTTGCTCTCAACACCTCTCTCCTCGGCGCCATACTGTTCGGTAGTGTGGGCCTACTGCTTTACTTTCATCGATGATGCTTCTTCTTACTTGCTGTGTTGCTCTGATAGTGCTGGTGCTTGAGCATTTGACTGCTTTGTTGTGCCTGAACTCGCTGGTCGCGGCGGCGCGGCTGATGGATTGACCTGCTGCAGGTGGCCTGCGGCTGGAGCATGACCGTTGCACTGTCCGCGGATGGACGAGTCTACCAGATGGGCAAGACGGGGGCGCTCACAACAGACAAAAACTGTACTTGGGAAGGCGCTAAGACCCCGACCAGGGTGAGTGGCAGCGATGCAAACGCTGTAGCGGCCCATCGGGCTACGAGGGTTGGCTGTCTTGAATCTCGCATGGGCGTGTGTTGCGTATCCCCGTGCATAGGTGCTGTACGGAAGTCCTTTAGTGCATTTGCTGTGTGTCGTATAGGTGGTCATGGATATGAGTATGGTAGTCCTAGGGAGGGAGAATTTCCTGCGGTGATCCGGGGTTTGCCGGTGTTGGAAAAGCACTGTAGTTAAGCGGACGTACTTCAATCCTTGCCACGCCAGTTAACCAGTTGCCAGGGGGGGGGCCTCAACTCGGGCCGTAGTAGCCTTGAGCAGCTACAGTACTTCTGTTACATCCTGCAGCACATGCGTTGTGATCATCGCGCTCTCGGAAAAGGCAGCGTTTGTTTTGAATCCTTTTAAATTAAGCCAAATAAGCCACCCATTACATAAGTCTCACCCATTTCTAAAGTTTACCACAGGCAGCTATTATAAGACCTGGTTTGCAACGCTTGGTGACCGAGCATGCATGGAACACAGGGTCAGGGGCCTCACTCGCACGTTGGTTTGCCTTGCCGGGCAGATTTGTCGATGACGCTTTCTCCTTCTTTCATCTACTCTGTTGCTCTCTTGCCCAGGTCGACGGCAACCTGTTTGGCATGTTTGTGGAGGAGGTAGCCTGCGGCATGCGCCACGTGGTGGTTGTTGCTAGCAAAGTGCAGGTAAGTAGCTTGAGCGATAGAGGTGAGAGGAGGAAGACGGCATTATGGAACCGCAATCATCCCTGGGAAGGATAAGGGCGGATCCCCCAAGGGGCCCTGTGAGGGTTGGGATGGGACGACGCCGCACGAGGGTTGGGGCGGCGTTCTGCGGGTCTGGGGCAACGGGCGACACATGTACTGCTACTACTTTGCGGTGCGGCCGGTGCCTTCCCGGCGCCTAATAATGCTACTACTTTCCGACAGCAACATTAAGGCAGGAAAGGAGGATTGCATCCTGCCGTAATGCAGGATGCAATGACAACAATGTGCGTGCGCCTGTGCTCCTTCCACGCCCTGTGTGCAACCTTTGCTTCGTCTGTGTCTGTGCAGGCGAATGGCCAGATTCCTGACGACCAGCGACGGGTGCGGTTGCTGGCGTGGGGCTGCGGTGCTGAGGGACAACTCGGGTTGTGGGGCATGACCACATCTTCGGATGCGCCGGTGGCGGTTCGTACATCCCAGGATGACCACTCGCTTCCGCAGGTACGTCGGTCAGTCCGTCTGTCCGTCCGTCCGTCAGTCAATCAAGACACGCGACATTGCCTGATGACCCTCTGGCACGTCGTCCTCTGCCGGTTTAAAGCAGATAAGCAGTTAGCAAAAGAAGGCCGATGATGGGGACCTGGAGCTGCTGTTATGTTACCCCCGTTGTTATGTTACCATCCGAAGAGCACTCGCAGGGCCGCGGTCATGACGCCAGTTTTGGTGACGAGGTTTTCACTCTGGTGACGCCGGTCGCCGCACATGGCTCCTTACGATTACGTGCGCCCGTTTTCGCTTCTAAGTCTAGACATTAGGGGCTTTGGGACCCACAAATCGAGGAAGCTCTATAATTGGGTACATCTCATGCCGAAAATGGGAAATCTGCGTCGAAATGCCGCGGCTTGATCGCAGATGGTGATAGTAACATACTTGAAGACTCCAAATTCCCCAGCGCCTTGGTTCTACTCGCTCGGGTACTATTTTCCCGCTGTGCTTTTCACTCTTTCTGGCCTACCTGCCTGTCACCATCCGCGTTCAAGCCGTTCCATTCATTGTGGGACAGCGTTCTGTTTTCCAATGAATTCCGCCGCCGCCTTCATGTGTTTTAACCCATCCAGATTGTTGGTGCTCTGGACGGACGACGCGTGCTGCACATCGCCGCCGGGGGGAACCTCACCATGGCGGTGATGGAGCACGACCCACGCACCAGGCGCTCCAATCCCGGCCCTTCATTGACGGCCGCGCCCTCAAACCACTTCGGCGGGTCCATTTCCTCCACTCCCTCCGCCGGCGGCGCACAGTCGCGCTCCACGTCGGTCGCATCCTACCAATCCGTGGTCGGCGCCGTCGCCACTGGCGTCCGCGACGCCGGCAGCGCCGCGGCCTTCCAGCTCTCGCAGTCCCTGCCCATCACTGTGGCCGCGGCGGGGTTGCAGTCGCTACAGCAAATGGTGACGGGCGGCTCCGGGCCGAGGTCCAAGGGCGGCAGCACGCCGACCGCGGCGCCGGATGTGTCCTACCTGTACCGCAGGCGGCAAAGTCGCGTGGTTGGCATTCCGCAGCTGACCGTTGGGCAACCGCGCAG